ATGCGCTATCGACGAAGTAGATTTAATTCAATCCAATAAGTTTAAATGAAATGCAAGAAATATGCGTATAATTTAATATTCCGTACAAGGAAGTCATGTGGTGTACAGATCATATTTTTTATATTTAAACATACGCACTGCAAACTGAAATAAGCTGTGAAAAAACTTTATTTTCGCTGGTATATCAAGTTGGAGCATAGTTTTTCTAGAGGAAACTGACGCCCGTGGTCCTGTAATTGAAAAGATCTCAACGTTTTCATTTGAAAAGGTACGTGTTAGAAAGGTTACGTGTTCAAACATAGGTAACGTATTACAAATATTGATGCTCAGAAAACAGAAGTGCGGTCTTTGTTTACTCAACTGTTTTAGAGATGTGTTCTTTGTTAATGCAATAAATCACTTACTGCCAAACTCAAATTTTATTTCTTTATTACAGACAAAAAATTCTGTAGAAATAACCTTCAATACTTTTTTTAACTGTATCTATTAATCATGGTCTTTACCCATTCTGTTTTATCAGCGACATTTGCATAAACGGTTTTAGCACCTGGTCCCGTACATAATCCAGTCATAAAGTTGTTTGTTGTAACAAAACTAGCGGCTCCAAGGACGTGCCATTTCCCGCCGATTTTACACGAAACAGGACCCCCACTATCACCCTGCAAAAAATACATACGACGTGAAGAAAATAAAAGAAATGCTTAATAACTAGCAAAATAACGTAATATTCAAAGCTACTAGTTTTTTTAAAAATTTTCTTTGTGATGGAGGGCTCGGGCACCATCCCTCTATCTCGATGATCAATTGGTATAGCGCCACGTCCTCCCTTATCTAGAGTCCGGATTGAGGGGCCGCGAGCCTTGCACAGGACGCCCTGTCCCAACGTCCGGACCATGCCTTAGACTTTGAGCCATCCTTCAACTAGGCCATCTGTATTGCAATCTCATGCATTGAAACAATTTCAGTGCTAAGTTTAACTTCTGTTATCTGATTCGCGTAAGTGACGGAGGTTTAATTTCGTAAACATGACACCTCCAAATATTTAGTTCAAGCTTTTAATAAAAAAAAAAAAAAAAGTTTCCTTTAACCGTTTCCTTGGTCTTGTAATTTCACAGAAAGAGCGATAATTCATTTGTCGATCTTAGTACGGATGAAAAAGATTCAGTTAACTTACAGTTGACAGTTGCGTTGAGAGTTGAGTCTGAACACCCGTGCGGCTTACTTAGACTATTCGGGGTCTAGTCCAGGCTCCGTAACTATCCGGGGCAACACCTCATAGTCCCCGATGGCTTAATGGCAAATCGCACATTCAGTTGATCAATGTTAACGAATTTCGCTTACTGCGCATGCTCAGTGGCGTACCGCTGGCGTGGGAGAGAATACCGGTGACTAAGCATAAGCAACCCTAATTTGTTATATTGTATATGAATGGAACGTATGGTAAATACTCAATTGTTTCTATTCCTCAGAAGTATAATCAACTAATATATCTTGTAATGTTTCCTGTTTTATAATCCTTTTTAAAAGAAAATTTGGGTATTTTACAATCGATATTTACACTCCAAGTAATGAAGCAGCTTACAACCTGACACGTTTTAAGAACCTCGAACTGTTTACGCCCAAGATAACACAATATCAACCATATACCGTATTTATCTTCTTTTTAAATTGCGCCAAATTCTCTTTTGGGCATGCGCTGTAAGGAAATTCGTTTAACATTGATCAACTCAATGTGCGGTTTGCCATTATGAGCCCCGATACACTGTTCCTGTATCATAATATATCAGGGGTGGCCAAAGTGCGGCACGCGAGCCTGATACGGCTCTCACAGGCAATTTGTGCGGCTCATGAATATAAAATATATGTATGAAATATGGTAAACTAAAACTATTCAGTGTCCAAAAGGAAGTAATTAATGAGTGTAGACTCATTTTACAAAGTTATCAGGGATTTCTTTCTATTTGAAACCTCCACTAATTCTATAATAGTGTCAATATGAACTTGTGGCTTTTAGAAAATCTAGATGTGGCTCTCGAACTTTCCCGAATTCAAACGTGCGGCTCTTACTGACATGAAGTTTGGCCAACCCTGTAATAGATGCTCACATAGTTCATAATACATGCTTACATAGTTACATAGTTCATAGTACATGCTTATATATGCTTACATAGTTCATAATACATTGAGGCTGTTACATAATACATGCTTACATAGTTCATAAGAAATTTCATTCGCCATAATACATACATGTTTCGTAATATATACAGTACTTAGGCTATGCTGAACTCTACTAAATCTGCATAGGAAAAAAAAGGGAACAAAAAAAGAAAAAAAAGAGAGAGAAGAGAGATTGATTGGGATCTATTCCACACTGCACAAATCTGTTCCCAATTTCTCCAGTTTCTGCATTATCTTGCATATTTTGCTGCGAAATGCTGGCTGCTTGATCAGATGAAGCTTATAAGAAACTGCCTGTTCCGGAAGCTGAACATGCCACTGTGTGGTTAGAGGGCATTGAGTCAAGTAAATGGTCTGATTTACCCATGGCTCCACAGACACAACTTTCGGTATTCGCAATTCCTCGCTCATAGTAATTGGAGGGAAAAGGCCCGTGCCCCGTCACAAATCTCGTAATTTGTGGGGATGACTCAAGACGATCGAGCGAAACTTTATGGTAGCATTCATAGGTCCTCCTGCTTTGCTCGGTAGTGTCCCATTCCCATTGCCATTGGTGCTGAGCTGCTTTCTTTGACACTTTTTTACGGTGAGACTACGGGAGTTTGGTAATAACGCCTTGCGCATCGATACTGTGAGCTGCTTCTTTTGCTAGCCTGTCGGCTTCCTCATTACCTTGAATGCCGGCATGCGCCTTTATCCAAGATATGATGGTATTCGTTAACGGCGAACGCTCCTTCGGCATGTCCTGAATCTCCGCTATGATAGGAGAAGGATGTCTGGGATTTCGTAAGGCATATATGACCGACAGGCTGTCTGTAAGAATATTGATAGTGGATCCTACTGGGGAGCTTGTTAACTCGATAGCTTTGCGAATCGCAATTGCTTCAGCCTGGAAAACGGAATTATTCTGTCCTATATGACCTTTCCATGTTAACAGTTAACTTACGGGTAGCCTTAAAAGATGAGAAACGAATATATGATCATACAAAGAAGTATCTCCACTTAACTTAATAAACGAAGTTTAAGATAAGAGCGGCAGCGTATTTTTTTATGACAGAAGAAATGAATGATACATTGTTGACGAATGCAATCTGTTTGGTAATTTATCTATGAATTTGAGTAAAATTCACTGACAGGAGGAAACGTTAGGCAGTGAAGAGTACACATAGTTCGGGCGCCACTGGCCACTGTAGGGACATTAGGATTTTTTGGAAGGAAGAGAGAGGAAAAATTAACAAAACCTTCGCCGTGAATAGAACCACGGACCTCTGGAATACCGGCCCAGCGTGCAAAACAACTACACCGCAAAGGCAATGCTAGGAAGGCGGTAGAAATACCTTATAAGCTTATAGCATGCATTAGTGACATTTAAACGATCCAGTTTTCCTATCGGGGATGCTCAGATTGTAAATAGCAATGCAAAGTAATTAGAACGCTGATTCCATACAGTACAAGAAATACCAGTATATCAGCATTATTATGATCCTATTATAATAGGTACTCATTAATTCTTGGACATTTGAACAATATTGAGAAACTATTTTCACGAATATTATGCATTGCCATAGATGGAAGATAATTGGGTTAAACCACATTTCAGTGAAGGTTAGGATTAAGTAAGGATTCCAGTATACAGCAGATGAACAAATAAGGAGAGGAAATAAATATATAAAGATATTTACAGGATAAATAAAATGTAGTTGTAATTCTCTGTGATATTACCACCTTCAAAGTAGTTCCCTTCAGCATTTACACACTTCTGCATTCGGTGCTGCCGTTGCTGGAAACAGTTCTGCAACGAGGTTTTTGGAAGGCCCTTTAGGAAATTGTCCGTTTTTTGCCTGAACCTTTTCAGCTGAGGTAAAATGGATTCCTTTTAAATACTATTTAGCTTTAGGGAATAAAAAAGCCGCATGGAACCAAATCAGGTGAATAAGGAGGATGCCCCATTACAGAAAAAAGAAACTGCTTGACAAATAGGGCCGTGTGAGCAGGTGTATTGTTCTGGTGCAACAGCTATCAATCACTCTCCAACTGTGATCTTTTTTTCCTAATTTTTTCACGAAGTCTTTTTAGTACTTCAATGTAGTAGTGTTGAAACCCTCCGAGCGTTACGGGTTTAGCTCCTAAATTTCGAAGTTCCTCAAAATGTCATGAATAAGTGGTATTTTCTTGATTTAAATTAAAAAATGACTGTCTCTCTTTGTACCCTGATTCCTTTTCTTCCAATATACATATACAATATCGGATACATTAAAAGCTAGCAGAAATTTTCATGTGTAATGAACAAAGAAGCCAGCCTTCTGTACAGAATTTCCAGGCCATAACGCTGAAAGAATTTTAACAGTCTGACCACTGGGAACTCATTCAATCATGATGAACCTACTGAGCGCCCTTGGGCGCCCAGCACGTTCATCTTCCCCCTTGAAAACCGCTTATGCCATTCAAACACACGGGCATGAGACAAAGTTTCATCTCCATGAGCCTCGGTTAACATTTGAGATGTTTCCTCCGTGGATGATTTCTTAAGTTTCACAAGCAACATGATGTTGATCCGATGTTCGGCTTTTTACATTAGACAGTTTTTCGGCAGAATGCAGTTGCACGTGTTCACTCAATGACATGCGTGTGGCATGACGTCACCAACACAGTTGTTGCCAACTCCACTCTGTTTACAAGCTACACACTCCTTTTTTTTTTTTTTGACACACCTCCTATTACATAACGGTTTTCTTTAGTTTCTGGCAAATATTTAATTAAATTTTCATTTTTATGCTATGGCTTTTCATTACTCAAAATGATTTGAGTTGAAAGTAAATGTAGTTAATCTGAATTCTTTAAAAATACCTTTCCTTACCAAACGGTTTCAGATTTTAAAATTATTTAGTCAGAAGTACATATATGTACATGTTTAAACGATAATATGATGCTCACATATATTTTCTCTAAATATACTTACGTTGTCAAGCTCGAGATCAGGATATGAAATTATTTTCTTGGATATTCTCACTTGCTCATAGCGGGTCTTGTTATACTTGCCGTGGGCTCCTAAATGAATTTTTATCATTCCGGGATAAGGACCTCTGTTCAAAATATCAAAATTAAAATTTGGAATAAATCTTTTAGGAAATTGGAGAAAATTAATTTTTCAGCTTTATCGATATGAAATTCATATACAATAGGCAACATGCTTCATTGCTTATTGAAAATAATTTTTCTACATTTCGATGCATAATTTGTTTAAGGTTCAGAAGATGTAACGTTGTTTTAAATGACTAATAAGGCCTTTTTTCCCATTACATTTGACCTTGTTTGACTTTTCTGTTTTTAAATTGCGCAAATATTCATTACAATATTTAAACGTGATAGTCGAAATAAGAAGAAAGGTTTGTCCAAGAAAGTAGTTAGGTTTAAGATGGCTTGATTTAATATTATACAAAGGAACGAAATCAGCAGCACTTTCCTTCAGCTTGATAAATATCTAACATATTACCTGCTGCGCAGTTTCAACTATTCACGAAGTGATAATTATTGTCTGGGCTTTTTGTTTAGTTGGAAACTCAGCACTGTGCTATAACTACTGGCGTTTAGACCTCGGTCGCGCACACTTAGCCTACGAGATACTTAACGATTTGCGACACTTTGTGTCCGGTCTGGACACACCTAAAAATTTCCTTCTGTACACACAGACAAATTGAAGAAAAAGGATTTATAGGTTACTCTGAACCTTCTTTATTTATAGTAGATGGCAGCTCAACACAAACCAGTCCATATATTTTAGCCAAGTTTAGTTTTTGAAGACCCTCATATTTCAAAGAAATCTTCCAGATTTTTCTTAGGGTATAAAAGGAATTGTTTGAAAAGAAATTTCTGTGTTATTTTTTGGCTGTATGTTAATCTTCTTATTCTATATTAGTTTTAAATTTTTACCTTGAAATCTTGTCTAAAACCAAACGGCGTACCTAAAACCAAACGGCACCGGTGATCTAGGACAACTGAGAGTCTGTATTCTTTATTTCTCCGCATCTCATCGGTCAGTTCATCGACAACAATGCTCATTTCAGCACTCTTTTCGAAGCTCTATTCAATCAGACTGCCACTTTGGACACACCGACAGAATTAAAACGATAAGTGCTATCTTCACAAAATTTCACTTGTGTACTTCTCTAGGGATAATTAGACTGCCTACCTTTTTTTTTTTATAATCAAAACACTTACTTTAAAAGGTAGCGTGCTGGGAAGGGTTAACTGACACCAGTTAGCCGACAAGACATTTAGCCAACACGGACACTCATTCGACATGGACATTTAGCTGACAGGTGACAGGTGACGGAGGACGAGGGCGCCTGATGTTTAACATAGGTAAACAGGCATATGCCCCGAGTCCTCCACTATCTAGTGGCAACAACTCCCTGGAGCCTCATCAGGCTGCCTCGGGAGTTTATTTGGATCTTAATGAGAAAGTTACATGGTCATACAAGGATGGTTGACATAGTCTACATTACGAGTGATGTATATGACATTTGAAAGTTTTAGGATTACTGTGGTTACAGGTAATTTTAAAAAAAGGGGGGAGATGGCATAACAATATAAGACATAATACACATAACAACACTGAATAACCTGAAACACATAACACTTATAACATTTAAACCATACAGTACACATAAAAACACTTAAAATACACAGAAGATACTCACAGACTACTAAGTAGAGTACTAATAATGCATTCATAGGATGCTGTTAAAACATATAATGCTGGGCAGATGTGATACTATGTGATATATAAAAACGTGTAATAATACTATAAGATCACAGGATGCAAAGCAGAGATAAAGCTGTGATACTAGTGAAAACACATGGTGCATGCCAGATATAAAGCACGCGTGTAACATTGCCAGATATACAGCACGCGTGTATACTAATTAAAACACATGATGCAGAATACCGACAGGACATTTAGCTGACAGGACGTTTAGCCGACAAGGTCACTTAGCCGACAGGACAGTTAACCGATAATAAGTCTCTCTCTTCCCAATGCTTTCACATTCCATTTCGACTTTGCTCAACACATCATGTTACATTCATTCCCGTATCCAGTCGTTTGACTCATTTTTTCTCTTTTTCTCCTGAGTAGACGTTGAAGATCTCTCACTGTCTTGTATCTTATGTAAAATGGCGCGAATATTCATAAAACCCGGAGGAAAATTCAATTAGAAATAGAATACCTGATTAGTACTGCCCTCTAGGAGGTATTAGAACAAACAAAAATAAAAACTCAAACAAACAAACTCGTTAAATAATTACGCCGCCTTCTCTTGTAGAATATTATGAATATTTTTATATGTATTTATCGCATAAGACGTGAGTATCAGTGTATCTAAATTATTGTAAATTAATTCAGGTATGTACTTAAATTAATTTTTTAAAACACTGAAAACAGAAAGAAGAAAATAGTTCCTTAACTGAAAGTAAAAAACATTCCACTTAAATTTTAATAATTTAGTAAAGTTTGCTGAAACTTGGCAATTAATTTTATAGCCTCATTAAGGTTAAACTCATTTCTGATATTTTTGAAAGTATTTAGAAACTCTGAAAATGTATTTGTTATACGGTCCCAAATGCTAAATCATACAGTAAAGTAGTATGCAAATGCTCAGTTAATCTTCATGCAATAAAATCTCTATTTTAGTCATTGCTTAGAAGCTTTCAAATGCGGCTTTCTTAATCTTGCTAAAATAAGTTATTGTAACTAAGTTCATGCAACTTCTTTTAATCACGTCTATGTTCTCCTCCAAAAAACTGTGTTTGCATTATTAAACTAAAATTAGTTTCATTAGATTGTTTTGGATAAACAATAATCTAAGCTCTCCTTTTTCTCTTCGCCGGAAAGGAGGCACTTTTTAAATTTATTCATAGAGCAGGAATTTGGTATTTACGATTCAAAGTTAAAATAATAATAATAATAATAAATAAATAAATAAAAATCTGAAGGGTTTCAGATTTTAAATTACGTCTAAAAGGGCTTTTTTTTAACATTTTGTCTGTTACCTTTATTTATTAAACATCACGTTCTTCGCACTTAAACCATAAAATTCAATTCAACAGCAATATAGCAAAACAGTTTTAAATTGAGCCTATAAATTAGAATTTCCGATACAGTCTATATTTCCGATATAGTCCCGGAGTTAAAAATGTTTTTTCTGTACAACGTTGCCATTTCTCGCTTTGAAATCCTTGAGTTTGTCAATGAAAAATTCATTTAAAGTTTTACAAAATATGAAATCGATCATAAAAAAAATTCCAAATTTTCAAATTTGAGCTTTCAGATGCCCATATTCGCAGTAGGATTACGTCATTCAAAATTCGATGGCTCTAGGTACCGTTGTTTTATCACAGTGCGAGAAATATATATACATTAATGCAGATTTTTCATCATTTATTTTCTTGAAATATAATGCAGGACTCTAACATTGGGTAGCTACAGTTTGAAAAGTGAAACGGACATTCAGAGTGATTCGACGCAAAATCGCAAAACGAAAACAATAGTCCCTCAGAGACAAATCTCCTTTGGACTAATAATAATATACTATTTTCTGGAGTGATGGTCGACGTGGCACAAAACTGATTAACCACAATGGTAGAGAAATGGGGCCCACGTTCCCCGTCATTCATTCACTGACTCACTCACTCACTCTTGCTTCTGTTGTACCCTCAGGAATGTAGGCCTTAAATATACTAGTTCGGTTATTTATTATACCTAGGCTTATTATACTTAGCACATGCTTAAAGCCGAGTCCCTATTAACGCATTAATGACCGGTAGCCTATCAATCGGCTTTTTATCGCCAACGCCTACCGACCGATAGCCTACAATCGGCTTTTCATCACCAACGTCTACAGACGGTTGAAAAAATAATAAAATTACCGAGATTAGAATGAAAATTTATATACCGAGATTAGAATGAAACGTTCATGCTGTATTCGGCTTTCAGAATTTCATGTCCCATTGAAAGGCGGTTCAAGTAGAATGAGAGCAGCACAGTAAGTCCAGGACAAGATGGCGAAGGGGAAAACACCGCTACCTTAATAGTATCCAACCCTACCTTGAGTTGGAGTTATTTGAAAATATTCAGCCCTTGATTAGATAATTAACCTTCTTGCAATCGTTTGCGAGATTGACACCTTGCCAACCAAAAATGTGCATCTGAGTGTTTGCCATCAAAGTCTGAGCTCGAATGAACCCTCGAACGCCAAATGTTCGGTTTTATCCGTTTTGTGCACTCTCTGTGAGTTTGTCACTAAACTGATTGTACAACTTTTGGCCTCCGCTCATTCGCTCTCCCAAAACCGTTGTAATTAGTTCCGTTTTCGCTTCGCAAAAGGAATGCGAGTTTACGTTCTATGGTAATTATTGCTCATCTGGATGCGTACTATCACCCCTCTTAATTTGTAAAAACAATTTAGAATCACCCTGTATAGCATTCAATCATTCAGCGCGAATCTTTGGGCATTTTTGAATCCGCAGGCAATTTTTTGCATTATATATAAAAGCAAATGAAATATTGACACTTTGCACCACCGATGCATTTGAAATGCATTTTTCTTTTCAGTACTCAGTATCTGAATGCATTGAGAGTAATTTTAAAGGAAATTAATGCAAGCGTATATTATGTAAATACACCTCCGAACATATTTAACAGCAAAGTCCTTTAAGGACGCTCATACACCTAAAAACCCTTATGATCTTCGACTATGTGACTGTTGCAAGAATTAGGATATTTTTTTTATTTTAAAAGCAATTACTTCCAACATTTTACAGCTGACTCCATAATATAGCTGCTTTGGAAACTAGTAACCAGAAAGTTTGTGTTGCCCAAATAGTTTTGGAATTTAATCCGCTTTGTAACAAAATTTTTCGTCATGTTCCACCTTGCGCGCAGAATATTTTAAAAATGGCTAATGGTACATTCTTGAAATTGGATGGAATTCCTTATATGGGCACTATTTTCTAACTGAACCAAAAATCTGATGAATTTTAATATCAAAAAATTTTATGCACGAAAACATTATAGATTTTTTTAATAAAATACATTTTATAAACTCAACTCCAAATAAAATAAAAATTTAACAGGAAATTCTTAGAATTTTTGGTTTACAATAGTTTCCAAATGTTATTAAAGCTATATATTAAGTATGGAATTCAATTATGCAATATGATGTTTTAAACTGTGCGCGCAAGGTGGAAACATAACGAAAAATGTTGTCACAAACCGGATTAAATTATAAAAGTATTTGTGGCAACACAAACTTTTTGATGACTATTTGAGAAAGCAGCTATATTATGGAGTCAGCTGTAAAAAGTTGGAATTAATTGCTTTTAAAATAAGTTATCCCAATTCTTGCAACAGTCACATATTCGAAGATCTTATGGGTTTTAAGGTGTATGAGTCCCCTTAACCGAAAATTGTAGGCACCATAATAAATATTTCATCTTGAAAATGAACATGTAGCATTCAAATATTTCAAAATCGCTTACCCTACGACACAATGACTTGCTGTTAAAACCCACTGAGCATTTATGAGTGTGCCACCACAAAAATGACCGTTGGGGTCACTAAATGCATACTGAAGAGAGACCTGCCATGGCCAACTGTTGGGGACAGCTGGTTCACCCCCGACGAGACGATCCGTGGAGGGGATGGTTTTCGGTGCGATAGGTGCTTCTCCGCAATCCGTTGGAAAATTGATGATAGGCATACCTGACAAGAAAGAATTAGATGTTACATAAACTCGAATGATATTTTGTCGTGCATGTAAATTTAAAGTGCACATAGACCTTATCCAAATGGCATTGACGCAACTGAAGATAAAAAAGGAATATATCTCTAGTAATACATAGCTATTGGTAAACTTCTAATTAGAACAGAAATAAATAAAGATGAATAATTTATAAAACAAAATAACAATTCAGATTGCTCCCGAAAAATCACAAAGTAATTGTATGATACTACAACTACTGTAGCTTAGTAAGCTGTGGATGAACATTTTCTGCTCCATTATGCGATGATGAATCGCTTCTGAACTTAGAAAGCCCACCAGCGGCCGAGCGGTAAAGTTGCTGGACACTGGTAGTTCGGTCAAGGTTCGAATTCCGCAACCGGGCTGGCTGCTTCGGATTTTTCGGGATTTTTTCCCGAGTGTAATATGTATACGAGCCAGTTACTCTTGAAAGATCCTCTACGAAGGCATCCCTTCCCTAAGAAAGATAGCCGTCGAGTGCTTTGCCATGTTCAAAATAAAACAAATTCGCCTGAATTCCGTAAATTATATGCTTATAAACGAACAGCATCTGGTTTTACCGGATTTATCTCTGTTCCCGGAGCTATAGCAAACGCTTTTTTTCTGATAAACCGTCCACTCTTTGAGTTCCCCGCTCTTCGTATTTCCAATGATCCAATATCAAGGAATCCTTGTAGAGTATAGATTCATAGTAGGTCGTCACAGTTGCCCTTCCTTTAGAACTTTCCTTTTGATATACCCAACTTCAAATAGCAATGTACATGCACTGCGAAGAGGGCCTCTCTATCTTACATATTTGTTCAGTTCTTCCTGAATCGCCCAACATTTTTGGCTATGTAAATTATATAGGTTTATTGTTTGGAAACAAAGGTAAAGACCGCTTTTCCTTAAAATATTGATTCTATAAAGGTATTTGCAGTTCCAAGGTTTCTAGAAATAAAATGCAGAATGTAAAGAAAACAGCTTCAGCATTAGAAGGAAGAACTTCTTACCCCCCCCCAGTTCTGAAACTCTTTTCCAAAATTTTGCGTTTATAGAATGTTTTGGATAAAAGGGTTTTCTAAATGTAACATTTAACTTTTTATGTGGATTTTAAAAAAACTTAAAACGAATTCGAATATACTATTTTCACTAGAGGTAGAACCAAACTGCAAAGCAGAATTGCTGGTTCTGACAGTTATTACTTCTATATCTTGCATATATTGGAAGTTTATATATTAGATACTATTTATTATGCAGCACTCTAACGGGGAGCTATTTATTGCGCTATCTATAAGTCATTATTTTCCCTACTCTCTTTAGTTTACTGTATCGTAAAGGTTAAGCATTTTCGAATAGTTAATTGTTTTATCTATTACCTTATAAGGTATTTTCTCTCTTCTTTTTGCATGCCTTCGTGGTGTAACGGTAGCACACTCAGCGCGTATTCGAAAGGTCCAGACTCTAGTCCCGATGAGGACAATGCTCATTCTTGATGTCTCCTTCTTCAAAAGAACTTAATGACTCTACTACCTATCGTTCTTCGGTCTGCGTCTTGATTTATTGCTTTATTAAGATTTATATCGTTTAGGTATTTTAGTACTGAGATTATTCTACGATGCTCTTAACGGAGTATAAAAGAAAAAATAAAAAAATAAATAATTACATTCTATTATTTTGTATTAGGGGAAAGAGTATTTGCAGCTAACTTTATTATTATTATTATTATTATAACTTTTAGCTTTATTATTCATGATGGTTATTAACACTGTTATTAACTTTTAATGTCATGAAAATAATTATTTATGACCGCTTCATGATTTTTGCTTATGAAAGTATGAATTTTTTGTTTAGTGCATACGGGTTCGTAACAGATTGAATGCACACAAAACCAATGACAGCTTGACAAAATTCATTTTTTCCCAAAGAAACACTTTACAGTTCTAAATTTTACAAAAAAGCCCTCGTACAGCTCTTCTGAATATCACAGAGCGCAATCAATATTTACACTCCAGACTACTTGTACAGACATTAGGTTATTTTGATGCGAGAGAAGGGAAAAATGGACAGTGCCCTCGCCGGGACTCGAACCACGGACCTCTGGAATACGCGCCGAGTGTACTGACCACTACACCACGAAGGCATGCTGAGAAGGCGGGAGAAATACGTTATATTGTAAGGATCTTAAGTTTTACTAACGTTTATTTTATTTTAAATCTTTACTATCACTTCTTATTTTCTACTTCCGGCCAGAATTAAAAGCGTTAACTTATTTATGCAAAATTTGTCTGGCGAACGCCAAGTCTTAAGTTGTGGCTTTTTGCCAGTGAGCGAGAGAGGAAGGAGTTAGTCGAAGCAGGCCGCTTGCCTTAGAAGTTTTACTCGGTTGCTGGTTGCCTTCCAGGCCAGAGGTTTAATCCTCGTGATAATTTTAAACGTATTGTAGTGTTAACAGTTCTCTGTACTACATACGGCTTCCTGTTAATATAAGGCCAATCTTCCACGTTTATTATTCCAAAGCACAAGTAGTTGGTCTCTGTATTCCGAAGTACGGAAATTATTGTAAAGAGTGAAAAATAAAGGGTTTTGTATACCCTTCCTGTGTATCTTGTCTACTTCCCACAGTTATTGAACATAGCTTTAGTAAGCTCCCTGTTCCGAGTCAGGTCTGTGCATGTTCCCAAAGAAAGTAAGGCGGAACATTGAACCTGATAATATATTCCCCCTTTTAAAGGGAGACTGGGGATTAGGGGACCCGGTCGCCAAATCCTGGTGGTGGAGAATCATTATCAGTCTCCTTTTTAGTTCGGGCGCCAGTGTAGAGTCGTTAGTTTAATTGGAAGCAGAAAAGATGAAAAATATGCACGCCAGGACTAGATCCACGAGCCTCTCGAATACGCTTCGAGGTGCTGACCGTTACACCATGAAGGCATGCTAAGAAGGCGGGAGAAATACCTTATATACTAAGAACGTTAAATATAACGCAGTACAAAGGGCATCTAACGGTGAAGCTCTCATGGAGATCTCAATACTCCGAGTCTGATCTGAACTAACAACTCCGATCTTGTATAGTTTTCCTTCGGTCACCAAGAAATTTCTGCTTTCCACTTCTCGAAATTATTGGAAGGAATATGAGGGTCGGATAAGGTTACGGTTACACATGGAATCAATTACAGTTATTTAATTACAATATAGGAATCGGACCAAAAATGGTCGCAAAGTTTGGCGACTTTTGGTTATTTCCCGCCAAACTTGGCGACAGTCGTCGAAACCAGCATCGCCAGCTTGACGATATCTTGCCAGTTTACAGAGGTAGCCATTAACTCAATATTAAATAGACTTGTCCCTGTATTTATACTTTTTCCGGCATATCTTTTTAGTTTTTCACGTTACCTTATACAAAAAATACTACAATTGGGCACATAATTTCAGTAAAATTATCTGCACGTATACAAAATTCGTAACAGTATTTTAAAGTATTAAAATATTTTACTAATCGAATGGTTTATTCCGCGGGATTCATATAGAAATTTAAGGTTCAAATTTATGAGCATTTCTGTATCCAATATAGCGCGCTTCCCTAAAATTCGCTACTCTTTTCTTAAGGTATCCGACCACGTTCGGAGCACTTTTTTTCAAAAAAGCTGTATATAGGTACACTATAAACACATTTTCTCATTTATTATCTACATAGATTAATTGTGGAATATCAAAATTTAATATATTCTATTATTATCCTGCAAAAAATATTAAATTTACGTGAAATGTTAAGCAAATTTTAAAACAATTTGAAACATTCTGTATGAAAAAATATTGAAGTTATATTACAAAGAGTCATATAATAATAAATTAAATACTTTTATCTAGGGAATGACATAGGATTTTAAAAATATCTCAAATAGTAAAAAAATTTCGGAATTTTGAAATTTTTTATGAGATTTTCGATAAATTCACGGTGTCATTATTTAAATAACAGGCCACAATTTCAAAAATATTATATATAATAAATCTCTGGTACGCATTCCCTAGATACTATATATAGATAAGCATACAAAGTTTCATAAAAATTAAGTAATGATAATTTGATTTATCCTGCACCAAGTGAGCCAGTTTTTAGAAAAAATAGATTTGAGAAAAATGCATTTAAAGTTTAAAATCCTTTATTTTTATTATTAAATCTTGACCCAGGATACCTAAATCCCTATAGCTTATACCTTCCTTTTGTTTAACTTTATCTGTTTTTTGTTTATATTCAGACTATTTGTTTTTTGTGGCCAGTTTTTACTCTGGGTAGTGAGTGATATTTTGATTTCCTTATTCGCTTCATGTCGAGCTTACTAAATCTCTCAACTGCATGTTCACCATGTTGCATACCTATATAATTTAAAATATCTAGTAAGCCTAAAGGCCCTCTGTTAAAGTGTATAACAGCTATATATGCCCCCAATTTAAGAGTTTGTAATTCCACAAGGGCAACCATCGGTATAAATTTCCAAAAAATGTAATTTAACTGATACAGCTCGCTGATATTTACAAAAAATGTCTGGTCCATCTGGGTACTGACCATGTATAAGTAGTTTTGCACGATAGAAAGTGTGAAAAATGTGGAGCAGTTACAACACCTTTCCATTCATTGTTCCTGATTCTAATTCCATTTTAAAGTTTGTCAATAAAGACATCATTAGTGAGCGCCGTTGGACCCCTCCATCAAGATATTTTGTTTTCCCTTAATTTTCTAACTGTGGAACGGGGCTTCTGAATATGGCTTACGCATTCATATTTAGTGACACTACTTAAGTATAAATATTTACGTCACAAATCACTTTCAAAAATGTCTCCTGCCGATGAGAAAATTTTATTTTTAGTTCACTCATGGAAATTGCTTTATTAATTTAGCTCTATTTCCTTCACAACACGTTTCATAAACTTGTTCCTTACGCATTTTCGTTTACAAGCACACGACTTCGATTTTTTATGACCCTTTATTATGCTTTTAAGTAGAATATTTTTAAAAATAATCAAAGACTAAGATAAATCTAATTTCAGTATGCAATGTGTCGAATCAAATCAAACTCATATGCTAGCGAGGATATAACGCTTTCTACAGGTAATTAATCAAAATATTGCATTTTATTGGAAATAATTTCACGTTGCTGAACAGGTTACAGATAAGATTCTATAAATTCCCTCTCTTTAAAAGTCTTTACATTACATTTCAAAGACAACAAATTATTTATGTCCATTTCTAGCTCTTTTCAACCCTTTGAATGGCACTTTCGGTGATTTAAATGCCCATTTCCGGTTTTTGCGTCTTTATGAAATCCTTAATATCTTGGTTTCTAATTAACGTATAAACAAAAGCATACCAGTTTTGGAAAGCTAAATAAACAGTCTATCCAATGAACGAATAAAAGAAAATTGCCATTTTTTGCCAAATTGGCCTTTTCAACGTGTTCGGATACCTTAAGTGTTTTGAATCCAAAATTCGCGTTTGGGATCAATATTCCGATCATCATTTGCAAGAAATCTTTATGAAGAGTGGCGATCGGTAAAGTTTTCTGTTTAGTACTTTGAAATTTAACAAAAGTGTCAGTTAAATGCTGATATGTATGTATCTTACGTCATGTGCTTAACTTCATTCTGTTTAACTAAACTATTTTAACAAGTGATATTTCCTTGCTCCTGAGTAGTTATCCTTCTGACTAAACACACCATGTACTCACACAAACAGGTTCAAACTTGACTACATTTTAATACATCCAAATGTAAGCACAGAAAAAATAGATTAATGTTAACAAATTTAAGCAACCTAACATACAAAATGTCAATTACCAAGAAAGAAGTGTCTTTCAAATGTATTTGAATGTTCCTAATAACTAATTGGTAGGGAGTTTGCAAACAATATCATTTTCCAAACTCGAACTAGAAACGAAAAATACTGTAGTTTCCAATATAAACATCTAGCTTTCATTTCCCTGAAGCAGGAAGATGGATGTATGTTCATTCCGCTAAGATAGTTAATCCCAGCTAACTTCCGTAGCCCTTACCAGTCTTTCTTTCATGATCTTTTAATTTACAAAAACCTTTGGTGCGGGGCGGATATATCTGACATGCACCAACAGGAAAACAATGTTTTATATTAAGCTAAATTGTTAGTACAATTTTAAAATAATTGGCACATATCGAAATAAATCAAACCTAGCATACTATAATAAATTAAGCGAAGACAGTTTACATAAATTCAAATTTAATAAGAAGAAAAAACATTATGTTTAGGTTCTTCCATTCTTTCCTGTATATGAATCACATTTGTTTATCCTTTTTTTTTAAACAAACCACTCTAGTTTTAATTTTTTATGGACTACAATAATTTATTTGTTTTCAAAGCACTTTAAATTATATTAGGTGAATAAAGATCATGCATAAATACATCATTTTCTATTCTTATAAAAATTTTATCAGTTCCGTAAGAACGTTATTTGAATTATTTAGTTTTTTGCAGGTGCTAAGACAAAAAGAATCAGAGTAATATTCGAAAATTTGCATATAATTTCAAAGGTTTAAATATAGCACCTTCTTTAGGCGCAAAAGTGCAAATGAAGAAAAAGAAGTCTGTGCTCAGCCAATAACGATGAGAGGAAATAAGTCAAGCTACTAGCGGCATCTGTTGATAAAATATCTGATATATGCACCACACGACGTCCTTGTACGAAATATTAAATTATACGCATTTTTTCTCGCATTTCATTTAAACTTAATGGATTGAATTAAATGTACTTCGTCGATAGCGCAAAAACCATAATAGAATAAATGCACAATTTACAATTCACGGTACTTGTTTACCATTAAATCTACTTCGTCGATAACGCATGAACCACAACAGAATAAATTAAATCTTTAAAATTCACTATATTTCTTTACTATGGCGGCACTCAAGCCCTAGGTTCACTTAACAGCGCTACATTTCAATCCTTTTTCATCTCAGAATGCACAAAATTTATATCATCTTAACAATTATCTAATCGTTGCCACATGTTCTGTTCAAATACTATAATAAATCTAAAACGATGTATAAAAGAAATTAAGCAAAGAACAACAGCAACAACAACAACAATAACAATAAAAAAGGGGGGAACAGTTTTTCACAGACGATTCAGTATTTCTCATTCAATTAATTCAGGTCTCCCTTCGCGACAAGTCAAAAACACGTAAAAACTCAAAGTATCTGTATTGAAAATTATGAAGTAAATCTTAAACACTTATTTCCTCGAATAAATACCAGAACAGATTAAGCATGATTTAATTCGCAATTAATAAAGGAAAGCGTTATCTTTCTTGTTGCGAAGCTTACTTTCTCTACATTGGCAACAAATCTGCTATTCTGTTGTTTCAAATGTGAAGTAGCAATGACCGACATGGCTAAAATTATTAGGCTTAGCGGCACTTAAACAACTTTTAATTGTTAATAATTCTAAAATGTTACCAATACAGTTTCCTCATTTACTAAAAACCTTTATAAAAAAGATTTTAGCAGAACACTCATTGTAATTTGTAATGCACAATTACAAATAAGGTAAGTAAAGAAACTGAGATCACTGCTGGGTCAAGTGGATTATATATAAATATATTTATAAGTTTGATGCGGTCGATGGCAACCAAAATACGAGGGGCACATCTACAGTTATAGCAGTCCTATATACAAAATTTCAACGTTCTGAGGCTACTCGTTTTTGAGTTATCCGAGATACGTACGTACATACGTTCGTACAGACGGCACGAAAAATTCTCTTCAGAATTCCTTTTAAATTAGTTTTACAATTTTTTGCTGGGAAAAGAGTCCTTTATTTTGTCCTTACGAACAGATGTCAAGCAAAAACATCGTTAAATTGCATTCGATAACGGTGAAAATGGACATTTGCGTTGAAATATGATGCCTGAAACTTTTCGCGGTAACACCTTCGGAACTGGTTCTGCTAATTTATGACTATTACGCTGATTCTTGTTACCTTAGCACCCCCAATAAAAGTTATTTTAACTCAGATATAATTTAGTTTAGTTAACGATGATGATAAGTAGTCTAACTCCAAGTAATGGAAGAAGATTTTTACCTACCACAGTCTTCTTCATCGGTTCCATCTCCACAGTCATCTATTCCGTCACATTTCTTCATTTCGTCGTAACAGTTACGGTTTTTGCATGGAGTGTAGAAAAAATCGCAAAGCTCTGTCATATTAAATCAAATAATATACATTAGTACCAAATTTCAATGAAGTCGGGAAATAGAATTCATGTACATATGGTAATGAAACGAAAAGTAAGTAAAATCTTTGAGGAGCGGTTAAAAGATTACGTAAAAGGTAAACGAGTTGCATAACAGTTTTACAAAAGCAAGCAGAAAGAATATTAGGATAAAAAGGATAATTTTACTATAATAATAATTACTATCATATATATATATATATATATAAGAATCTAATCAATTAAAAATTAAAGAAACTGCTTGTAATTTTACATCACACACTGGGACTCTTGATTTTAATGTTTTAGAGTTCTTAGCAAAGTAAACATAAGAATAGTTTAGAAATTTCTGTTCTTGATTTTTATTCGTTTTGCGAAAACCTGTGAGAAGTGTTGATTGAAAATTGGGCATTTCAGTTAAGATATGTGCAAGTGAACTCCGAATTGTTACCCTATTTCCTCGCATATTAGCTAATTTTTGGTAAATTGTTTTCCCTTGATTACTTTAATTTTTGTTCAACGTATTGAGTTGCATTTGCATTTCCTATTGGCATTTATCCGTTTTATTTGTCACGCATTTATTATTTGAAACGTATTTTGGGCAGATTTTTCGTTAAGTTACCCGGACAGGACACATGTTACACTTCAGAAAATTTACAAACATGTGATTTCACCTTACTTCTGTTGTTTACGTTCCAGCCTTATCTATGGCTAATGGGTTCGTTCCTTCCAAAATCCGAGTCCTTTCATTGGCGTCTCCTTCTTCATGTCTCCGATTCCCTCTTGAGAATTTTAGTCAATATCCATTCATGTGAGAGGACATCGCTTCAATATATACCGTCATATATTGTTATGCTAATATTACTGTATACACTAGTCGGAATGTAGGTTTCTTTTAAAGAAATATATTCGGATAATTACCTGCAGTTTATCCGTGACTGCTTTTCATTTGTTATGTTCTTACTGTAATCGCGTTCTTCGGAAACTAAATTACTGGCATAATTTTACCCTCTCGATCACGGACTATAGTTCGTTAGAAAATGACAGAAAAAAGTCGAGAAATATGGTATTCTATGGCAGGAAAATAATTATTCTATTTCCCGTTGCATATTCTGGATAGGTAGCACGTCCAATTAGTAAACTAAAAGATCCGCGTTTCGAATCTCTCCGGAATGGCAATTATTGATTTTCTCGTTCTGTCTTCAATTATATAATATATTATATACTATATATATATATATATTCAAAGCCCCCACTGCCGCTAAGAATTTTCGGACACCCAACACTTATGAGTCAGACACGAAGAGAACACTTTGCCAACTCCCCCACTAGAAAGAATGTAAGTTACTTAATACCTTTCTGGCCTTATATCTCATGTACATTCACTGATTTATTTATATTATTTTCTATTATTTTTTATTTTTTTTATTTTTTTTATTATTTTTATGTCTCTTTGATTTGTTTTTTGCAAACTTTGCATTATTTATCTTTTTTGTAATCTTCTATTTTATTTCAACTTTACTTTGAATTTCGATTTCATAATGACAATTTCCAATGTTTAATTTTCTACAAATAATATAGAACTCAAATAACATAAACATGATAGGTGTCGGGGACGGTTACTCGGGTATACGGATTTCTCTACAGTATTGCTTTTTACTCCAAATTGAATTGACAAAATGCTTCAGAGATAAGTTCTTTGAGTAACAACTATTCGCGAAATATTTAGGATTTGACTAGAATTGCCGGTTTGGCTTTAACTTATAACTCGAGTAAAGACGAAACACCTTCGTATTTTACGTATTTTTATCAATTATTGTTCATTGAACGGGAGTTGGTTTGTTCCCCTTGAAAAGTCAATTAATTTCCGATCAATGACAATGATTACATGTTTTAATTTTACTTTTACAATTGAAATTTTATTCCTCATGATGGTTTAACTCCAGTCCCCGTTAAACATTATTAACATTTTGCTTTCAAATTACTTCAAAACATCTTTCGAAATATAACTTACCAGTATGGATGCACACTTTTAAAATAATTCTACTTTAATTAAACTTAGGAGATAATATAATCAATTAATCAATATTGTTTAGGAAATAAATTATATTAACACTTTGCAGCAATTGCGCAAGTAATAATAACTTGTATTCGCACTAAATGGATTTAAGTTCATACAACATTTATATATATATAATTCTTCCCCTATCTGACCAATAATTCGTTCCCATCTGGATTCTTTCAACTGGGTCTCGAGCCTCTGCTCATTTCAACCGTTCCTTCAAGGAAGAGGGATCGTATAAAAGCCCATATCACACGGCGTTTGTTTCACATGAACAACTGTTTCGGACAATTTTTCTGCCTGTTTTACTATTGAAAGAAAAACGTGCGAATTTTTCCTTCCTTTCGAAAAAAGTTGCAAGTTGTTCGTTTTCAACCAATCAGCTATCAGCGCCGAACGCTGTTAGCTTGTTTGTAATGGAGAACCAGTTTTCCCTGTGTTAACCCCAAAGCGAGCTGTGGTGATTGGCTGTTGTGACAAAGCAGAAAAATTGTTCCAAACAGTTGTTCTTTCGAAACAAAGCGACGTGTGATAGCAGCCTAAGGAATTGCTGTATTGCCCCGTGCATTGTGTGGTATTATAAGTGATAAGCTAGTCGAAGTTCCGTGGTTCAAATCCCCGCGAGGACATACTTTATAGCATTCTTTAACTTTTTTAGTATTCTTTTTAGTATTCTTTTTTAGTATTTTTTAGTATTCTTTAACTTTCCTGCTACGAAATATTTAAAAGTCTGTTCAGTGGCGCCGGAACTAACGTACTGTTGACAATAACTGCACGTCATTTGGAGTTAGTTACTAGGACTCATTTTCCCTTTCGCATCGCTTTTTCAGTCGGGAAGTAGTTAACACGTCCAAGTAGCTCATTTGAAGATCCGTTACTCGAATCTCCGAAGAGACTTAGATGATTTTTCACGTTCCTTACTTCCGAAAATCTAAATTACCCCACAAGTCACAGTGTTTTGGCAAACTAGAACAAGAAACTCACAACTGAGTTGACTCACCGAGGAAAGGCGAGCTTTCGTACTCTATGAGAAAACCTCTTCCTCCCCTCATGTAGTCAGTTTGAAAAAGAAGTCGTATTTCATTCTCTCCTTTATTAGAAAGGTAGGGACGGGGTAGTTGTGAACCGCAAAGTATACCTAGAACGATCTGTTTGTCTTTGCCGTATACCACCAATCGGTCTTGCACGCAACCGCTGGATGGATCGAGATCAAAATCTTTGAAAGTCAACTTGATTTTCTGAAAGAGAAGAAAATAAACCTTCAAATGCTAAATTTATTGCAGTTTTGTGTATAAAGTTTTATCACAAGAAGGCAGACAGTAGGATGACCGTTCTGTATAGGTCTGCACAAATTATGTCCACTGCACAAAGTAATGCTCCCCAGTTTCTTCTGCCACGACTATCCCTCGCACAGCGTTGACGCCTGCACGGAAGTGCGGGAGAAGTCTCGAGAACACAGCGCGAACAGCTCCAGTCGGCTCTGAGCTCCTGGTGAGTCACAGTGCGTGCCCGTTTCAGTAAACCCTTGTGGGAGTGCTCGGTCGAAATCAAAATTAAAAAAAAAAACTCTCGAGCAACGACACGCAGAGTTTTGTTTCAAACTTCAGAAAACTCCGTCGGAGACTTTTACGTTGCTTCAGTCCTGATTTGTCCCCATCCGACTTCTTTTTATTCCCGAAGATTAAAAAAAGTCCCTCAAAGGACAGCATTTGGGGGCATTTGGGGACCCTGGAGAACATCAAAGCGGCTACGACGAGATTACTAAAAGGACATTCCTGTGACGGACTTCCAGGACGCATGTAAAGCATGGAAATTGCGTTGGAACAAGTGTGTTAAAGCAGAAGAGATGTATTTCGAAGAATATTGAGTAATTGTACGAATCGCTTCAATAAATTTCTTAAAAAAAAGGGGCGCATTACTTTCGGAACAGACCCTTGTATTAATATACAAGGATACAGATGACATACTTTTTTTTTACATCCATTTCTTTAATATCCATTTCTTTAATAGATCAGAACATATATTAGTTTAACGCGTACATGCAGATAACGAAAATTAATATCAGATAACCGCTTTACACAATCAAACAGTAATCACACGTTCGTAACATGCATGCCAGTTCGCAGGAAAATCAGACGGTATTGTGTGATTCGAGAAAGGTGAGTTCATTGCTTCATCGACGGCTTCGAGAGATGAAATGCCGGGGGTCGAGCAGGCTCAAATTCTCCCCTCCCCCGCTAGATGGAGGGAGGAAGTTGATAGTGCCATTTCTTGGATCTAGCCGCCCAATCGGTTCCATGATAGGACTAGGAACGGGGTGTTAGGCACGATCCCTTTACCGTTATGGTTAATTGGTTTAGCGCCACGTCCTCCAATATCCAGAGGAGAGGAGTAGGAGGCCCTCGGACTCGTCCCCCGGGTTCTCTCCATCAAAATTGGAGGCGGAATCGAGCTAAATCGCACTGTCAACTGTAAAGTGATCGAGGCTGTTTTCAACGACAGGCCGCATCTTGAGCTCCTTGCCACGAGGGATTTCGTGGGCTTGGGCTGATGTTACTGTCAGACAATTGAGCGTAAGTAACAATAACAACATTTCTTGGATCTGGCTGTTACTTAAGTGTTAAAACTACAAGTGCAACGAACTTGAAGACGATGCTTTCAGGTTGGAAACCGGTATAATATTTGTGGCAAAAAAATAACTGTAACTAAATAATAAACAAAATGCTTTTCGTATTCCCTCGTATCACTGCATCGACATGCTGATAATCCGGTTTTAAAATTATATGGAACATGAGTCGTTTCTTTTATAGTACGATCTTCAGCCTTAATATTGACACTCAGGCAATCCTTAGAAGTATACTGTACTTCGGGAAACTCCATTTTCCCTTACAAAAATACATTTAAAAATAATATTTAAAGTAAATGAATACCGCAGTGCCGGCTCCAGACAGTGTGCCGTTAGTGCGGCGCACCGGGCGCATATTTCACAAGTGCACATCAGCGTAGCCACTGAGGGAGGGGTTTCGAAAATGGACCATTGAGATTATATTGAGCTAATTTGTGACACTAAATCTTCGAAAATGTGAGCGTATATGTTGCTTATATTTTAATTTGCATTTGTTTCGCAGTTATAAATAGTATATTGCGTAATAGTAGAAAATCTCGTAGTGCTTTTATTTTCTGAGTTTAATAAATCGCTGGCACTTCACTTTCGCGATTTTTATTACGCATTAATATTTGGATTGAATTTCACGGCATATTATCGCTCTTTACATCGAGAAAATGACTCAAGCTACAATTAGTCTCGAGTATTACAGATTTACTAACACTTGTCTATTAAGAGAATTCAGATATTTATTGCTGAGCTGAGAAGGACTGGAATTGTTACAATGAATATAGTGTTTTCTTATTTCAGCGCTTGCATTCTTTTGAATTTCAAAGTGTAAGATTCCGAATACATATTGTGTATGATCTGATTATATTCATTATTAACGCTAAAAGTTATATGTGAATAAATTGAATGTATTCGTTGTGGATAAAATCAGTTCATTCTGTTTGATGAGTATTTCTTGTTTAGACAGTGCATTTAAGAGTAACAATTATTAAATGTAAAATTTAATACAATAAATATATACGAATGCAAATTAGTCATGAATAAAAATTCTATAATAATATAGCCAAAGCAGAATTTTGAATAAAATTCTGGGTTGGCTATATTATTATAGAACATCTTTTTCATACAGTCTGCAAAAAAATGTGCTGACTTCTACTTACGTATATAATTGGTGTAAATATTTTTTTCATATGCATAGTTTTATCTAAAGATAGCATTTGGGCTCAGATGTTTATCACATATTTCATCTTATTTACCACTTATTAAGTAATATATCACATGGATATTTTTTAGGAGTATCCAACATGTGTTTGTATTGATTTCAAATTCCTTCAATCAGGTAGTGAAATCCTCACAATTGCTTATATTTGATCTAATTTTGCAATGAAAATTTTCATAAGAAATCGGCGATGCTTCATTATTTTGTACATAAAATTGCCTGACAAAATACTTTCAATTATCTTGCTTAAATCTTAAAGCACGCGAAAGGTCATGTGACATGACAGAAATATTACTGGATGTCCATTGGTCCGTCCTAGAAGCCACTCCCTCGGTGGCTACATAGATGTGCACTTGTGAAATATGCGCACCGGGCGGTAGAATTTTGAATTTTTTTTTTCAGAATTTGCACTGGGCAGCCGAAACTGTAGCGCGGACCTTATCAGTGTGTTATAGTACGTAAGGAACGTACGTAAGAGGAAAAAAAATGTTTCGTATATTTTATTTAAAACATTTTGAACAAAAATTGATGCAATTCATTCATTCATAGCATTACTCTATGTTCGAGGTGTCACCTACCTTTGCATTATATTTAATGACAAGTATGTGCTTGAGCGTTTTGCATAAGCTGTCGAATTGTGGCTCTATAATTGGTATCTGCAGGATACCAATTATAGAGCAATTACAGATAATTTCATATTCTGCATTTAATTTGTTCCATCATTTTGCTTTTGTCGCCACGTACGCTGAGAATGATGTTTCATTTAAACACTTCACTCCGAATGGCGTTAAAACATTCATAGCTGTCTGAGAAATTTTAGTAACAAATAATCATGCAGTTATAACCGTTACCGTTATGGTTAATTGGTTTAGCGCCACGTCCTCCAATATCCAGAGGAGAGGAGTAGGAGGCCCTCGGACTCGTCCCCCGGGTTCTCTCCATCAAAATTGGAGGCGGAATCGAGCTAAATCGCACTGTCAACTGTAAAGTGCTTGAGGCTGTTTTCAAAGACAGACAGGCCGCATCTTGAGCTCCTTTCCACGAGGGATTTCGTGGGCTTGGGCTGATGTTACTGTCAGACAAGTGAGCATAAGTAACAATAACAACATTTCTTGGATCTCGCTGTTACTTAAGTGTTAAAACTACAAGTGGGAACATGAAGACGATGCTTTCAGGAATTGAAACCGGTATAATATTTGTGGCAAAAAAATAACTGTAACTAAATAATAAACAAAATGCTTTTCGTATTCCCTCTTATCACTGCATCGACATGCTGATAATCCGGTTTTAAAATTATATGGAACATGAGTCGTTTCTTTTATAGTACGATCTTCAGCCTTAATATTGACACTCAGGCAATCCTTAGAAGTATACTGTACTTCGGGAAACTCCATTTTCCCTTACAAAAATACATTTAAAAATAATATTTAAAGTAAATGAATACCGCAGTGCCGGCTCCAGACAGTGTGCCGTTAGTGCGGCGCACCGGGCGCATATTTCACAAGTGCACATCAGCGTAGCCACTGAGGGAGGGGGTTTCGAAAATGGACCATTGAGATTATATTGAGCTAATTTGTGACACTAAATCTTCGAAATGTGAGCGTATATGTTGCTTATATTTTAATTTGCATTTGTTTCGCAGTTATAAATAGTATATTGCGTAATAGTAGAAAATCTCGTAGTGCTTTTATTTTCTGAGTTTAATAAATCGCTGGCACTTCACTTTCGCGATTTTTATTACGCATTAATATTTGGATTGAATTTCACGGCATATTATCGCTCTTTACATCGAGAAAATGACTCAAGCTACAATTAGTCTCGAGTATTACAGATTTACTAACACTTGTCTATTAAGAGAATTCAGATATTTATTGCTGAGCTGAGAAGGACTGGAATTGTTACAATGAATATAGTGTTTTCTTATTTCAGCGCTTGCATTCTTTTGAATTTCAAAGTGTAAGATTCCGAATACATATTGTGTATGATCTGATTATATTCATTATTAACGCTAAAAGTTATATGTGAATAAATTGAATGTATTCGTTGTGGATAAAATCAGTTCATTCTGTTTGATGAGTATTTCTTGTTTAGACAGTGCATTTAAGAGTAACAATTATTAAATGTAAAATTTAATACAATAAATATATACGAATGCAAATTAGTCATGAATAAAATTCTATAATAATATAGCCAAAGCAGAATTTTGAATAAAATTTTGCGTTGGCTATATTATTATAGAACATCTTTTTCATACAGTCTGCAAAAAACTGTGCTGACTTCTATTTACGTATATAATTGGTGTAAATATTTTTTTTCATATGCATAGTTTTATCTAAAGATAGCATTTGGGCTCAGATGTTTATCACATATTTCATCTTATTTACCACTTATTAAGTAATATATCACATGGATATTTTTTAGGAGTATCCAACATGTGTTTGTATTGATTTCAAATTCCTTCAATCAGGTAGTGAAATCCTCACAATTGCTTATATTTGATCTAATTTTGCAATGAAAATTTTCATAAGAAATCGGCGATGCTTTCATTATTTTGTACATAAAATTGCCTGACAAAATACTTTCAATTATCTTGCTTAAGCACGCGAAAGGTCATGTGACATGACAGAAATATTACTGGATGTCCATTGGTCCGTCCTAGAAGCCACTCCCTCGGTGGCTACATAGATGTGCACTTGTGAAATATGCGCACCGGGCGGTAGAATTTTGAATTTTTTTTTTCAGAATTTGCACTGGGCAGCCGAAACTGTAGCGCGGACCTTATCAGTGTGTTATAGTACGTAAGGAACGTACGTAAGAGGAAAAAAAATGTTTCGTATATTTTATTTAAAACATTTTGAACAAAAATTGATGCAATTCATTCATTCATAGCATTACTCTATGTTCGAGGTGTCACCTACCTTTGCATTATATTTAATGACAAGTATGTGCTTGAGCGTTTTGCATAAGCTGTCGAATTGTGGCTCTATAATTGGTATCTGCAGGATACCAATTATAGAGCAATTACAGATAATTTCATATTCTGCATTTAATTTGTTCCATCATTTTGCTTTTGTCGCCACGTACGCTGAGAATGATGTTTCATTTAAACACTTCACTCCGAATGGGCGTTAAAACATTCATAGCTGTCTGAGAAATTTTAGTAACAAATAATCATGCAGTTATAATATCTATTACAATGAAACCCCCAAAAGCATAAATCTGTATATTTGTTCAGGAATTCAGTATTCTTCAATATTGCATACTGTAACATTTGGATCTCATGGAACCTTAATATTATTAAATGCAATACTTACGTAGCCTTCTAAGGTGCTCTTATTCTATACTCGCACCATAAACCATCGTGGTAGACGGGCCTCTTACCATAGAATGGACTGGAAACTGTTCCTTTTGTTGAAGCATCGTATTCATACAATTTGTGGCACTGAAAATCTGGAGTATCTATAGCTTCGCCAGCTAAGAGAAGAAAGAAAATCTCATAGAAATAAAGTCATTCAAACGTCAAAACTGATATAGAAAGCATTTTCATTGCAAACATGTTAATGAAAAAAAAAAAGGTACTATTCGATTACAAGGTCCGTAAAAAAATTGCAGCGAAAATGTATGCGCAAAAGCGCCAAATCTAGCGTACGCGCTGATTTCAGATTGCGTAAGTTTATATAGTTCTATATTTCTTAGGACGCCATTGAAATACTAGTTGAATTTTTAAATTCTTTTTTGATTTTAAATCCTTTTTTTCATTTTAAATCTTGTTTTGATATCCTATGGATTTAACGATTTGGGAATTGCCCATGACGAAAAGTCGGCAATAGCATTTTGGGTAAAGTGCAGAATCACCCACTGCTTGACGCGTTTTTAAGAATTGCACTTGCTCGGTATCCATGTGCACATCGACCTATTTTCACTTAAAAAAAATCCTAGAATTGCACAAAATTGGCACCCTTGACTTTATCTATGTACACATCGACCTATTTTCACTTAAAAAGTAAATGAAAATTGACAAAAATCCAATTGTTTTCACCCTTGTAAAAAGCGGTAAACAAATATGTGAGCGATTCTGCACTTTACCGAGAATATTTTCAAAGAAAAGGCATCATTCATTATAGAAAATTACGTTTGAACAACCAACGAGATGAAATTATGCTTTAGCAATAAGTCGGTAGCGAAATAGCGATATAGGCATCCATTCAGTTACGTTTAGCAATTTTTATATAAATTATAATAATGATATGAAATAGTTATTTACTCTTATGCTTCCATTCAGTCATGTTTAGCCTTTTTCATATAAATTATAATAATAAAAAAGTATTACATGAAATTAACCTTTCATCTAAATTAAAACATCCATCTTAGTTATTTACTATTATACTTCCTTTCTTGCCGCAATTATTAGGGTTACCGCAATTCTTTTTGGCAGCATTGGCATCAACGATAGTTTGGCGATTTTTTACTGCACTCAAAACCGAACAGTACCAAAAATAAATAAATAAATAAATAAATTTCCTCCAATTTTGGATTCATACTTTTAAAAATCAAATACCTTTCTTTTCATGAAAGTGACTGATGCTGAACTCAAACGAGGCATAAAAGAAAGGTGTAAAATTAACGTTTAACTGTTAAACTCGAATTAAATGTTGTTGTTATCATCCTTCCTTGTCTGAAAATGGTCAGCACAAGGCCGCGACATTCATCGTGGCAAGCAGTCAAACACACCCGTCGTTGACACTGCCTTGAGCACGGTATAGGCGACAGCCCGACTTTAGCTCAGTTCAGTTCCTCCCCCAATTTTGAGAGAGAGCATCCCGGGAAGACAGGTCTCGCACCTACTACCAAACTCTCGAGAAAACGTTCGGCTCACCGCATATTTAGAGGGCCTCCATACCCCACAGGCACTATACATTTGCAAACATCCATGCCTTTTCCGAGATTCGAACTTGGGCCCTTGGGTACGGCAGCCAGATGAAATGAAATAACACAAGCAGGTTCGATGTAATACCCCCCCCCCATTAATTTAGGGATTAACTACCAGCAAATCGAGCTGTGGAACTCAGACACGAAAACAGCGTATTCCAAGCTGAGCTTACAGCCATTCTGAATGCCATCAAGCTGTTTCTACCAAGACATACGGACACCATTCATGTGACTACTGATATAATACTGTTGCGTGCGTACGGGTTCGTTACGAAATGAATGCACAAGTGGGATGAAAAATGAACAAAAATTTATTATTATCACAACAAATATGCTTAAATTTCCTCAAATATTCGTGCAGTATTACAATATCTCACAGTAGTTATCTTTTAACTACTCAAACGTTCAAGGGAACTTAATTCAAAACAGCTAGAGAAATTCGCTACAGTCAACAAGAACAGTTTTCTAAGCAAATTCTTAAAACAAACAAACTAACTATCTACTGACTAACTGAATTGAGAGGATTTCCTCCTTTTTATAAGATTTTAAATCTCGCGCGATAATTTTCTGGAACTTTCTCGAAATCAAAAACAGATATTTATTTATTAAATGTTAAATGCACGTGATCTTGTATTTTCAATTTTTCGGCTTAGCTTTCCTTTAATATTCGTCACGCGCTGCACTTCACGGGCAATAAAACTATTTAATTTATAATTGAACTAACATTACCTATTTAAATACCAAATCCGTAACAATATATTATAATTAGTCATCTATCTATGGTATCAAACGACGGTTCCCAAACTCACCAAATGCCTATCTGATCCAGGGTTTAATACTCAACAGCAACAACAAATTTATAATATCGTGGACTAGAGGTTTCAACGCTTGTGCAGAAAAGGAACGCGCTGACTTCTTAGCAAAAGACGCAGCACTCCACCAAATAGGCACTCCAATCTCTATCCCGTGGCCTTGAAACGCAAGCTGAAACAACTGGCAACCGCACAATGGCAACATCGACGGGATTACGGACAACGAGGAAGACGAACGTATGAACTCCTCCCTAAAGCAGATAAAAACGTAACTTTTTCATCCTACTTCCTTTCCCAGTACATCTCGGGCCACGGCCCATTTCCACTCTACTTCGACAACAGACACAAAGCCTTCTCTAACAGATGTATTTGCGGAAATAACGGGGACTCAGAACACTATATCTTCAACTGTCAATGACGTCTGTTCACCATATAACTCATCCAAACAACGCAGGTCTAGAATTTAGGAGATTTCTAATCAAGCACCGAAAAACATTCAGTCAGACAAATAACATTATCCACTACCTCCACAGACAAGGACTCAATATGTGCCACGCTTAATCTTCAATCCTCTCATTCTGCAATAGTTTCAGAGTGCCATTGTTATCTCTACCCAACACACACTTCTAATGTGTCTTCAGTCTTCATTCAAATCTGTGCCATACCTCCATAACATGCCTTGTAACAGAGCTGATTTCGATCGAGTGAGATCCACTGAACTTGTAGAGTCATTAGGCTAATTGGAAGCAGGAAAGATGAAAAATATGCAACCGCCTTCGCCGGGAATCGAACCACGGACCTCTGGATACCGGCCCAGTGTGCAGAACCACTACACCACGAAGGCTCGCTAGGGAAGTGGGAGAAATACCTTATAAACTGACGTGAACCATCTGGACTTATGGTTCAATTACCAAGTGTATCATATTTGAGCTGTGTGCCCTAACAACTGTGTGCACCACACTGTACTGACTCGCACTATATCTTTGCTGTATTGTATCTCACTTCCCTATGAACATGACCATCACCAAATGTAACAATATGCAGTGCTGTATCTCCAAATGTATAACATCTGTATGATTGGCTGTAACCTTGTTTAATACTCAATAAATACGGAAAGGTAGTACACGGTGGCAATAGCATTTTTGCTTATAGCGATGATATGGTGCCTCCTGTGCTTTTTCCTGTCCTGTTCTGTGGAACTCGTGTATTTAAAACGTGCTTTTGAAAGCAGCAGTACCAAAATGTGGAAGGAAAAACATGTAATGATATTATTCCATCATAAATTGAGTCATAGCGAGATTTTTTTTTAACAAAGGATAGACATAACTATTCGAGGAGTAACTGCGTACTTTTTTTTCATTCGATCGCTTACACACGTTCGCGAATGTCAGCACGCTGTGTTTTGCTAATGAAGTTGTAGAGTTCCTCACTTTGTAATTCCAAGTTAATGTTGGAAGTGAAGAATCTTAAGAACTGATAAGCGAATAATCGCTCAAGTTCAGGCGACAAGAAAGAACAAGATAGAAGGGTAACTAACCCTTTATTACTCCAATAAGATTTAACAAAACTCCGCTTGGGAGTGTGCAAACAATGCCGACACTCGGGCTTGAACTTAAGAGACTAAGAATTAAACTAAAACTAGGATTAAATAAAAGAAATATAGGCGAAGCTACCAAGATTCAAATCGAGTTGGCCCCTTAACTTATTTGACTACGAAGCTTAGCAAGGGCCTGAGTACGGCCGAGCGTAATAAAAGCTTTGAGAGAGAGAATGGCCAAAAAGGCAGACGCGCGTAAATCAGAAACTCTAATTCTCTCTATGTGTGTACTATTACCTGCTTTGTGAATTACTAACTTTATTGCAACATGTACTATTACCATATATTGCATCATGTTGTATCATGCATCTTAGTCCTTACATTGCATCTTGTATATCTGTGCGCTTTCTTGTGCGTACTATTATTATCATTCCTTCATGACTTATTGTCATCACATTGCTTCACGTATATATGCGTGCCCTATTGAGTGTTCTCTCAATATCACGCGCGCTGTTTAAATAATTACGTGCTATTATGCGTCTCATAACATCATCAAGTGTTTCGTTTTTATGTGTCCACATTATATAATTGTCTGCATCGTGTTTATCTATATGTGTTCTGTGTTTTTAGTGTTTAGTTCCGTGTATTTTAGTGTATCTTAGTGAACGTTTTTGTGTTTTTAGTGTGCTCCACTTATGTTTTACGTTTATGTCTTATTTTGTTCTACCTCTGTAACCACAACCTTTCGTTGTCTCACGTTCTTACAATGTACTACATGCAGTCTAGCCCTTGTATGGCCATGTTAACTTTTGTTTTTTAAGATCCTAATAAACTCATGGGGCTCCAGGGAGTTGTTGCCTTTAGATAGTGGAGGACGCGGGGCATATGCCTGTTTACCTATGTTAGACACCAGGCGCCCCCGTCCTCCGTCACCTGTCACCTGTAAGTAACTTCGTGGTTTAAATACCGCTCCTCCTCATTAATATTCAGCAAGATTCCAAAACTATGTTCTGGCCAGAAGTAGTAAGTTGAAGTTAAGAATTTGATAGGAAAGGATCTTAAAATTTAACTGTTAAAATAAATCAACATAATCCTTCTTACAAAGTGATAGATATTTCTGTTTTGTGTGGATACGAAGTTCGTACACATGAAACTAATAACATCCTATTTCAGATGTTGAAGCCGACGAAAAGTGATCACAAATAATAACAAAAAAAACAAAAAAAAAAAAAAAAAAAAAGAGCAAATTGCATAAAAAGAGAAACAGAAGTGTTTTTTTTTAATATCAATAAGTTACTTCTATTGTAAAATATATTTTATTAAATAACAATAAACGTAATAAGTAAATGAATCAATAACTAAATGTTGGACATTTTTGCTAAAGAAATAAATAAAAAAAAGTTTGTCGTCATTTCTTTCTCGCTTTTGAATGATGACTTTATCAAATACTATGTATTAAACAGAAAGTACTGAAATTAAAGTGAAACGGAGAAAAGGAAATATAATCGTCAAAAGCTATGGAACCGTTCTACTCCCTGCGAAAACGCCGAACAAAGCCGCAATAACAAAAATAAATCTCTGTTTCTGCATGGTTTTAGCAATCCGTCGTACGCTTCAAGGAGACCGTTAACGCCTTTACTTAGCGAGGGGAACATTTTATCTTACCAGGTGGCTAACATTCTAAATTTTATCTCAATCTTAGAGAAAATCTTGACCTGTAAACATAATTATTTTAACACTTTCGGAAACATTTAGTTTTTATTTCTTTGATATTTCAAATCGTTGTCACGTCACTGATACTGATATTGATATATCATTCGGGCTAAACATAACAAATTTTCCAGAATTCTCTGGAATAGAAATGTTGAATATTATTCTTACGTTATCTACCTTATTTACTTAAATGTGCAGGATATAAATACAGCAAACGTTATCTTATAAAAGTTTCGCGCTGACTCATGTTCAAAAAGTAACAAATCAAAGTTTTGATACCAACGTTTAATTTTCTGTATTTAAAACACTTTACAAGAATGATTCATAATTTTTCTTTTTTACGTCTGAAAATGTAATTATAATTAGTATCAAACAAAGTTCACTGTTGTATATATCTTCTAAAATGTGCTAGTTTGTAAAGTTCAAGAAGTTTCGATTTTGAAATTTGTATGTAGTAATACAAAATTCTGCTCTTAAAACTTGACTTTTGCATTTGAAATGCATAGAATTTTCTACATTCAATACCAAGTAGCAATCGGTTTTTCATTTTTATGTCACAAAAGGTAATTTTAATGAGTATTATAAGGATTATTGTTTTTTAAACGTGCTCATTGCATAGATTCAAGAAGTTCCTGTTTTTAATGGTGTGTATAATTGAATTTTCCGTTATTTAAATGCTTTTTCGGTATTGATTAACAATTTTTTTTTTTTTTTTCAATGTGAAGAAAAACGTTAATATAATTAACATTAGAGTCAATAGCAAGCTTAACATTTTCATTTTTAAAAATACTTTAATGCAGTTCTTCCTATTCAAAAGAAACATATATTTTAGCTTCTATCTAATTATTCTCTTTTCTACTTGCGGTCATAAGCCTTGTAAGACATAACCAGGGGTTCTCAACCGGTGGTACGCAAAGTAGTTTTAACTCTTAAATTCAAGAAATGAAACCTCAACATCATGATTAAATTTTTTCTCTAACACTCGTAAATTTATGCGATCTGAGCTTTGTTTAAGAGTGGTGGTGGTGGTAGTGAGATAAGATGAGGGACGCAGCCCGACCCTCCTGGCGAACTTCACGTCACCCTACGGCCTTTCTGCAGGCTGCGCCAGAGCAAGCCAGAAACAACAACACCTCCAACAAACAGACATAAAGAATATAACTAAAAAAAATTAAAATTAAAATCCCTACTGCCCGCTTATCATGATAAATCTGCTCCATCATTTTGTTGGCAAATTTCTTCAGTCTTTTAAAATCATTTAAAATATCACATATATTATATCAAAAACATTATTTTTCTTAAATTCATTCCTCATAGCAGTAAAATATTTACATGTTTCCACATAATGTACCGCAGTGCCCGGTTCTTTACAGATATCACAGAGGTCAGACTTTTGTAATTTAAACCTTTCAAAATAGAAAGGAAAACGGCCGTGACTTGTAATGATATTGTTAACGTCAATGTCTGAATAACATAAACCTTTTTTAAGTTTAACAAATTTCATATAACCTTTATTTCGATCAGACCTTTTCCAATCCTCCCTCCATTTATCATAAATATAATTTTTCATAATAGTCACAGCTTTCCGTGTTGATCCCTGTACATTAATGTTACGAGCATTAACATCGGTAATTGCCTCCTTGGCCAGTGCGTCCGCCCTCTCATTTCCAAAATGTCCAACGCGTCCCTTCAAACAATTAAACACAATATTTTGATCTTCTCTCAATTCTTTGTATATTTCTCTAATATATACTCTTAAAGCATTGTCTTGATCAGGTCGTGTGAGAGTTTGAAGAACTGTCAGAATAAATATGTATATCATATTTCCCTTTAAGAGTTTTCTTAATCCATTTCAATGAATAAAATATAGCAATAGCTTCCGCTTGATAAACCGAGTTACAACTACTGAGTTTAAATGTATTATTCTCAATCTCTGCCCTATAATAATACACTCATGTCCATAAATTAAGGATACTGCAAAATCAAGCAAAGGAAGAGTTAGAAGCAAAACAAATTTGACTTATTTGTAAAGATTATTTATTAAACAAAAGGTAATCAGCAAAAACAGATGCTATATGTTTGATATTATTAAAAAAATTAGCGATTTTTTCTCCCTGGAGCAAATTACAAAAAAGACCTATTTACAAAAAACCAATATTACATGGTTGGTATGATTGTTAATACATTGTATGTCCCCCAGACGATGCAATACAGTCCGTACAACGCCTACGCATGCTGAATATCAAATTATCGATCTTATCTTGGGGGATATTACACCACTCAAAACGCAATGCTCTCCGAAGTTCCGGTATACATGTAGGAGGAGGTTGACGGGCTGCAACTCGTCGGTCAAGTATGTCCCACACGTGCTCTACTGGATTCAAGTCCGGTGAGAATGCTGGCCAGTCCATACGGGTGATATCCTCCGATTGAAGGCATTCGCTAACGATGTTTGCACTGTGAGGACGGGCGTTGTCATCCATAAACACAAATTGTGCGTCCATAGCGCCCCGAAACAAACGTACATGTTGTTCCAGAATGACGTCCCGATAGATTTGGCATGTCATGGTTCCAATTTGAACATGCAGGTCAGTTCTGGAACCCAGAATAATTCTACCCCAAACGAGCACTCCAGCACCACCGTAACGGTGTCGTTCAATGATGTTTTCTTGGTGGTAACGGGTACCTGGAGCTCTCCATATGAAAGTCCGGCGAGAATCAGACTGCAAGCTAAACCTGGACATTGTCGTACCAGTGGCTGAAGAGAGCTGGCGAGACAGGTCTGAGGCTGTGCTCCGCCTGTTTCTTTTGGCAGTAACTGCCAAATACCGGTCCTCGTTCGGCGTTGTAACTCTGGGGCGACCTGTGCTGTAACGTCTACTCACATTACCATCATCTTGGAATCGTTGCCAAAGCCTGGAGATGACACTCTGGGCAATTCCAAGTTCGTCTGATACTTCCAGTTGGGTACGCCCACATTCCAAACGGCCGCTAATTCTAACACGTAAAAAATCATCCAAATGCGTCCTTTCTGTCATAACTATTCGGTTATTGTACTGAAATGCTTATAAGGCGCCTGCGAACAATTTTACTTCTTTGCCTGTATTCCTTATATATCACTCTCTTACACTCTCGTCATTGTGACGTACCATCGGTGTCATCTGGTTACTTCCTGAAATTTGCATATGATTCTTGAAGATGTGTGTAGTGATTTTACAGGTGATATATTTATTTTAGAGTTCGATTTCCGCGTGATACCGAATTATCCTTAATTTATGGACATGAGTGTATATAACGTATGTTAAAGCATTGGCGTCTCCCAGACCTGACCTGTCTGTATAAATGTCAATTTCTCCCATTTTTGGAGCATCCAAATAAGATAAACCTTATGGCAAAAACACTCTGTCTGCCAAACTGGAATAAATATTTTTCTCATACGCAGAGTTTTATATAAAGATTGCACTTAAGCTCACATCTTTATCACATATTTCTTTTCTTCGCATCTTATTTACCACTTATTAAGTAATATTTCACATCGATATTTTTGCCTAAGTATCCAACATGTCTTTGTATTTTTTTCAACCAGGTAGTGAAATTTTTATAATTGCCTATATTTGATCTAACTTCCCAATGAAAAGTTTCAGAAGCAATCGACGATGCTTTAATTATTTTGTACACAAAAGAATATTTTCAATCATCTTGCTTAAATCTGAAAGCACGCGAAAGGTCATGTGACATGACAGAAACATAACTCTATGCTCATTGGTCCATCCCAGAAGCCATTCCCTCGGTGGCTACACAGATGTGCACTTGTGAAATATGCGCCCCGTAAACGAAATGCATATCAAACAATTCCTCATTACCATTCTCCTGCAACGTCCTTTTCCGAAATGCTTTCCAATACGCCTGTGAATTTCGCCTTCTAGCAGAGTGGCTAGTCACGGTTTCAGAACACAGCTTCCTGTAGAACACGTGTTCATTATTGTCCTACAGAACAACACGTGTAAACGATCTTTTAGGACACCCTGTATTAAAGTATGCTTGAAATTTCCTTCATCTGGTTAATAGACTCGATAAACACTTTTCTTGCCGGAGCAGCAAAAGTTCTGTTACTGTTAGAATATTGCACGAAGTCACAATAACACAGTGCGCATCGTATACGCATTAAATAATGACATTGTTAAGCTGTAGCCGATGGGTTGAGCATATGCGCAACTTGAAATCATGCTATCCGTTTCACTCTCCTGGAACAAAGTTTTATTTCTGATTGCTTATCCTAGATTCTAAGTCCTACCAGCGGCCGAGCGGTAAAGTCCCCTGAACACTGCTAGTTCCGGCCGAGGTTAGAATACCGACGAATGGCTAGCTGCAGAAGCGTTTTCGTGATTTTCTGCATGTGTAATGTGCTAATTGCTTTAAAAATGATTGAATTATGTAGTTCTTATCTTCCGGTTAAGGTTTTTATGCCTTTAGTAAATCTGTATGCAATATTTTTAGAATTATCAACAATTTTGAAGTTGTTTAAGTGCCGCTAAGCCTAATAATGCTTTTGATAGCGGCCATTGCTTGTTTACATTTGAAACAGCAGGATAGTGGATTTGTTGCCAATCTAGAGAAACGTAGCTTCGCAACAACAAAGATAACACCTTCATTTATTATTGCGAATTAAATCATGCCTAATCTTTTCTGGAATTTTTTCTAGGAAATAAGTGTATAAGATTTACTTCGTAATTTTTAATACAGATATTTTGAGTTTTTATGTATTTTTGCCTTGTCGAAGTGAGAACTGAATGAATTGAATGAGAAATACTCAATCGTCTGTGAAAAACTGTTTCTATTTTGTTTTGTTTGCTTGATTTCTTTTATACATAGTTCTAGCTTTATTATAGTATTTGAATAGAACATGTGGCATCGATTAGATAATTCTTTAAATGATATAACTTTTGTGCATTCTGAGTTATAATATGAACGAAATATAATACTGTTAATTGAACCTAGCGGCAGAGTGTCGCTATGATAAACAAATAGAGTGAATTATAAAGAATGCATTTATTCTATTGTGGTTTATGCGCTGTGGACGAAGTAAATTTAATTCAATCCATTAAGTTTGAATGAAATGCGAGAAAAAATGCGTATAATTTAATATTCCGTACAAAGAGTGGTGTATTTATTATAAGCGATAATAACGTGAATTTGGTTTACGTACTTTGTTAAAATTATTTGAAAGTATGGACGATGACTTTTTTCCGCACGTGGACAATGAATAAAAGGGGAAAAAAATAGGTTGCTATAAATTAATAAATTCGCCAAGTGCCAAACTGTCATTCTTGGCGCAAACTGAAAAAAATTTGCCAAGATAAATTTTTAAATTTCCTAGTAAATTTCTCACCAAAAACTACAAAATTTAATATTTAAGCATAATTTGAATCGTAGGATCAAAATATGGAAACAAATTTGCATGCCATTTTAGAAAAGTCCGATTTTGCTTCAAAATTTTTATATTAGAACATAGCTATATAAATCTAATATATATCCTAAGTCGCTCCTTCGAGATGTGGAAAACGCAATTTGAATTTCGTGAATCGGCGCAGTAGAACGAGCCGATATGCATTACGTTTATGCGACTTAATGGAAATGAAAAAGCAGAGAGACCTATGCTCTGATGAGAGCGCTTGTTAAACTCTTATTTGAACAACTGCGCCGCCGATTAAATGAGACTAAAGCTTTCCGAGTAAGCAGCCATATCGGTCGGCTACGTGCACATTGTAGAGGATATTGTGGTACAGGAAATTGAGAGGATTTGAATATACTCAACTCGTTTTCCCGAATTCTCCCAGTTCGATGCGTTGTTGCTTCGACTGCGTATCCGAAGGGTTTCCAGCCTCACTTAATCTGCTGGAAAATCGTCCAAACCATGGAGGACTTAATAGATGTCTTTCTGGGAAACGCTTTCAATGCATACGTCTCGCGACTTGTCCATTTCCATCCACAACCTCGTAAGCATATTTCACAAGTGCACATCAGCGTAGCCACTGAGGGAGGGGTTTCGAAAATGGGCCAATGAGCTGCTATTGCTCTAGTGACGCTAAATCTTCGTGCATGTGAGCGTATGTTGTTTACGTTTTAATTTGCATTTGTTTCGCAGTTATAAATATATGGCGTAATTTTAGAAATCTTCTAGTGCTTTCGTTTTCTGAGTTTAATTAAACGCTGACATTTCACTTTCGCGATTTTTATCACGCATTATATCTCGATTGATGTTCACGCCATATTATGTGGATTAAGAGAATTCGAGTGTATATTTTTTTTAATTGAGCTGAGAATGACTGAAAGGGTCACAATGAATTTAGTGTTTTCTTATTTCAGTGCTTGCATTCTTTTGATTTTTAAAGTGCAAGATTCAGAATACATATGATCTGATTATATCCATTGCTAACATTAAAAACTATATTTTAATAAATTGAATATATTCGTTGTGAATAATATAAATTCACTCTGTTTGATGACTATTTCTTGCGTAGACAGTACATTTAAGAGTGAGCAGTTATTAAATGTGAAATTTAACACACAAAATGTATACGAATGCAAATTAGTAAAGTTCACTTTCAATAACATTCTGCATTGGTTATTATTATAGAACATATTTTTCATATAGACTGCAATAAAAAGTGCTGACTTCTATTTACATACATAACTGGTATAAATATTTTTTTCATGCGCTGAGTTTTATCTAAAGATTGCACTTAAGCTCAGATCTTTATCACATATTTCTTTTCTTCTCATCTTATTTACCACTTATTAAGTAATATTTCACATCGATATTTTTGCCTAAGTATCCAACATGTATTTGTATTTATTTCAACCAAGTAGTGAAATCTTTATAATTGTCTATATTTGAGCTAACTTCGCAATGAAAAGTCTCAGAAGCAATCGACAATGCTTTAATTATTTTATACACAAAATTGCTTGGCAGAATATTTTCAACCATCTTGCTTAAATCTGAAAGCACGCGAAAGGTCATGTGACATGCTCATTGGTCCATCCTAGAAGCCACTCCCTCGGTGGCTACACAGATGTGCACTTGTGAAATATGCGCCCCGTAAACGTAATGCATATCGACCAATTCCTCATTACCATTCTCCTGCAACGTCCTCTTCCGAAATGATTCCGCTTTCCGATACGCCTGTGAACTTCGCCTTCTAGCAGCGGCTAGTCACGGTTTCAGAACACATGCTTCTGTATAACACGTGTTCATTATGGTCCGACAGAACAGCACGTGAGGTTTGTAAACGATCTTTTGGGACACCCTGTATTAAAGTATGCGTGAAATTTCCTTCATCTGGTTAATAGACTCGATAAACACTTTTCTCGCCGGAGCAGCAAAAGTCCTGTTACTCTTAGAATATTGTAGGAAGTCACAATAACACAGTCCGCATTGTATACGCATTCACTAATGACATTGTTAAGCTGTAGCCGCTGGTTTTGAGCATATCCGCAACTTGAAATCATGCTTTCCGTTTCAATCTCCTGGAACAAAGTTTTATTTCTGATTGCTTATACTAGATTCTAAGTTCTACTAGCGGCCGAGCGGTAAAGTCCCTGAACACTGGTAGTTCTGGCCGAGGTTAGAATACCGACGAATGTTTGGCTGCATGAGCGTTTTCGTGGTTTTCTGTATGTGTAATGTGTTAATATGAGCCAGTTTCCTTTAAATACTCTTCCACGAAGGCATCCTTTCCTTCCGTGTAGTGTCTTAGGGCAGAAAGCGTAAATAATAAATACATACTACACTCTATGATACAGCTTTATATTGCGCTGTCAATGTATGTCTAATAATGCAATGTAGACTAATTAATGTGTAGCATTAGCCATTTATTTTCATTATCCCATATTCATTCACTCTTCTATGGATAAAATGAAAATACTTCGTAGGAAAAAATTTGAGAGAATTAGAACCGAACCTAATTTATAATGTTTCTGTGGGGGAAAGAAGGATGCCCGTGCGTGTGTATATGTGTATGTGTGATAATCGAACTTTCACAAATAACATATATCAATTGACAATGATTTGGATGTTTGTAGATAACTAAGCGATAGAGTAATTTTTAAACTTATCCGCAAAATATACAACATGGATGTTGAGGAATCAGTCTGGTTTTGTGAAAATTTTTTATTATTAACGGAAAAGTCAGGTGCTCAATTGATTAAGAATTTGTGTATTCATTCACTAAACTAAGAACTATTTGATTGAATTTCTAAAATTGACCAAAATGCCTGAAATAGTCAGGGGTAAATGGAACATTAATTAGTTTTTTCAGAGAGATGCATACACTTCTCTAACTATTTTATAAAATGAGATGCAAGCAAAAAAAAAACTATTAATTTTTTTTTCCGTTTTAAGTTTCTGAATTTTTTTCTAGTTTTGATTTTTACACTTTTTCCCTTTTTCATACTCTAAATTTGATTCTTCAACAAATTTTCAATAATTTGAACTCTGGATAATTCGAACTGTAGAGTCATTAGGTTTTAGTTTTGAAGAAGAAGTTAAGCCATGAAGGCATGCAGAAAAGGAGAACATACATACTCTGCCTTTTAAAGCGCGACTGAGGATTAGAAGACCCAATCGCCGAATCCTCATGGTGAAGAATTATCATTCACCACCTCTTTTTTTTTAGTTCGGGCGCCACTGTAGAGTCATTAAATATTTTTAAAGCAGAAGACATGAAAAATGAGCAATGCCCTTGTCGGGACTCGAACCACGGACCTCTCGAATACGCGCTGAGTATACTACCGTTACACAACGAAAGCATTCAGAAAGGAGGTAGAAAATACCTTATAGAACAAGTTTCTAGCCCGTAGGGATTCGAATTTTAAAATATGTCGCATGTTTGTGTTAACATTCCTTTCGTGGTATGCTGTTTGTATTAAAGAACCATATTACTTGTCTCCACTATATTCGTATAATATGCTTGTTATGTCAAGCATGATTTGTCATGCCAAGCAAACTGTGATCGCTTCCGTTAACACGTAGCACACTCCAAGCTATCTGCATAGCGTTTTACAGAAAGATATATGTGCCGACATTTGTAGGTCATCGTGTAGAGACATTAGGATATTTTTTGCAGGCCGGAGAGATGAAAAATTAACAGCTCCTTCCCCGGGAATTGAACCACGGACCTCTGGAATATCGGCCCAGCGTGCTACCGTTACACCACGAAGGCACGCTAGAAAAGTGGGAGAAATACCTTATAATCATTAAACAAAATGCGTTGTTCATCTTGTTTAGCACATGATGTTCTTTCAAAAATTGTTCTAAAAAGACATACATTTAATTAAAGAGTTAGTGTCCATACGTATAATCAGGGCTGAAAATATGCTCATGAGTATAATACAGCTCTGCATCATTCGGAAAGGCTCCAATTTTAAAACTCACAATAAAGGGCATTTGCTACTATATATCAGTTTAATTAATCAGTGTTTCTGATATCTTAACAAAAAATTGTACTTTCATTTGTATATGTGACTTCCTTCTCAGTATTAGGTGGACTCTTCGTTGAAATGAACAAAACACCCTGAAGTCGGCTTAAGATTTTATTACTAAAGTTCGTTTTATATTATTGATAATAATCCTATACAAAGCTAAAGGAACATTCATTTTCAGCTGTATCTGTCTATCATGGTCTTTATCCATTCTGCTTTATCCGCAACATTGGCGTACACGGTTTTAGCACCTGGTCCCGTACACAAGCCAGACATGAAGTTAGTGGTTGTGACCCAGCTGGCAGCTCCAAACACGTACCATTTATCACCGAGTTGGCATGAAAGTGGTCCACCACTGTCACCCTGAAAAATGTCCAAATATGTCATGAAATAAATACAAACTTTAAAATTAATTTCGCAACAGTTAAAATTTGCCACTTATATATTATCGGAGAAGGACTGGCTAACTTTGGCCATAATTTGATATCATGAATTTTCTTTTTTTTTGGGGGGGAGAAGTGAAAAATCTTTGGCAATAACTTCTAAAATAACTTCGAAATGTTTCATACCCTGAGCTACAACTTTCTGTCGCCGCATGAATTTCGCTAAGAACGACTTTAAATGGTCCCAAGCTGATTCAAAGTAGCTTGCTTCTTCAACATCACGATGCGCTCTTCGATTGACCTCCAATGAAAGTCGATTTTGTGTAGATTAGAACATTGGCTGTTACTGAGTAATATATTGTTTCGTTTTAAGGGTTCGTAGATTTGGTGTGATTAATGACAACACTTGATGAAGAATCAAACCATAGTTTATTTAGTCAGTATAACTCAGAAGAGTTCCAAAGTCACGTTTACAGTCGCCGAACACGTACGCTGAAACTACCACAAACACACTAAAACAATCAGCCACACAGCCTTCAGGCTATAATGGGGAAGGCAGCTTCACGGCAAAGCAATAAAATACAACTCCCGACTCAGTCGATCGCTCTTAGAGCTCAACAGGCAGGGTTTATATAGATTTTGGTCTGTCCTCGAGAACATTCTGGGCCAAACCGGTGAGAATTTGTTCTAGAATGTTTTCCGACCGTTCATGGCATATCGCCGGTTTTGTCGCCAAATGGGTGATTTCGCGCAAAATCAGGCAAATTTGCTTTTCTTTGCCATTTTTCTGGCCGCCCTAAAGCGGGGAAGCTATCTTACCGCGCCTGGGCACTTCGTAACAATATTTTATACTCTTGTAAGGAAATAATAGCATCACCTTCATGGCTTGGTAGACCCTCCCCCCAGACTCCGAAAACTCCCTTGTTAAAACTGCAACTTACAAAGCGTTCTTAAGACTTCGCCGCGACGTCATACATTTAATTTGCTCTAGTAATAAAATTGTGTTATAGTACCAAATTTGCCCACTATTGTCTCTTTTTTGGCGAATTTGTCTTTTCTCCATTTACACATAAGTACCTAAATTTGTATTCCCAATTTACCTCCAAGTGTAGTTTTTTTTATGCGGTCAGTTTAAAATGCAAAAAAATTCCAAGCAAATTTCAATATAATTTTCTTACTGCCATCGCACAGGAGGTCTAAATACAAATAAGTATATCACATTGAATACCGACTTTTTACACGTGCCAGGCATAAACGAAAGTGTTTTTTGCACTGTACAGTTACTGATGACGAACAATGGATCCACTACGATAACCCAAAGAAAATGAAATCATGCGGACCACCTGGCCATGTTTCAACATCGACCACCAAGACGAATATTGATGGAAAAAACATCATGCTGTGTATATAGTTAGATCAACTTGGTGTCGTGTATTATGAGTAGCTCAAACCGAACAAAACCATTACTGGCTCTCTACCAAACACATTTGATGAGACTTGGCCTAGCACTCAAAGAAAAATGCGTCCATTACTGTACTCCAGACATAACAAAGTTATTCTGCTGCATGAACTCGGAAACAATCAAATGAGAAGTTTTCCCTCATGTGCTGTATTCACCAGGCATTACACCTGATATCTCTTCGTTTCGATTGATGCATGGCCTGTCCGAGCAACGCTTTCCATCATAAGGAGATACCAAAATAGAGTTGATTTGGGATAACCTCGAGCGATGAAACATTTTTCCGAAGCGGTATCCGCATGCTGGTAGAAAGATCGGGAAAAAATAGTGGCTAGTGATGGACAGTACTTTGAACAGAAAATGACGTACCTTTCTTTCATCAATAAATGCCCAACTTTTGATAAAAGCGATTTAAAAAATTTTTTATGTAGTATTTAAGTATTTTCTAGATGTGTAATTATTTTTTAAGTATATATTTGTTTTTTAAAAATTGTGAATTAGTTCTTTTTGTTTCTTATTGGTTTATATGGATTACGTCTAGTTCGTTTTTAGTTTCTTTTTATTGATATGCATATTCGTGTCAGGGAGGTTTCTGCAGACAAGGGATTCTAAAATACATTGGTTTCTAAATTATTTTTTATAAAAAATTAATTTTTAAAAATTTAATTTTTATTTAAAAAAAAGTTTAATTTAATACTTGACTTTACTTGCTTGTTTATCAAAATTTGTTTATCAAATCAAATCTTGTTTATCAAATCAAATCTTTAATTTTTTTTCTTTTTAGAACTTAGAAATTTTTTCTTTTTAGAATTCTTAAATGCTAATTTATAAGGGTACCACTTTATTGGTATTTCTTTTTGGACATTCTTCACTTTTTACTTTTGGTTTTGACTTTTACCCTTGCCTACATGAATGATGAAACACGAATTAAATGATTGGAGAGTTAGATTTGGAGGCAACTTCCCCTTAATAAGTCTGTCTCCTGCCTGCTCAACAGTCATTCACTTATGCATTTTTAAAAAAATTGTTTGAATTAATTTTAATTTGCTAAATTATTGAATTTATTTTCATAGATTGTTTTTGCACTTGATTTGCTTATACTTCTGAATTTAAATGATATTGTAGATTAGTTCGAGAATTAAATCTTTTATATGTTTGCACATTTTTTAAAATATTTTTTAAAAATTATTTTGGCTTTAAATTTAATTTTGGCTTTAATTTTGCTTTTTTACTTTTATACGTGTTTGTTAAAATTTAAATTTAAATTTGTTTAAATTTATATATATATATATATATATATATATATATACAGGGTGAATCTAAACAAGTGGGTAAAATTTTAGGGGGTGATAGAAGGCAGCTATAAGAGTAATATTCGTCATAGAATGCATGGTCGGAACACAAGTGGTGAGAAGTTAAAGGACGTATTCCATTATCACATTTAAAGAATTAACACAAGAATGAGAAGAGATACTTCTGAAAACATTTTATTAACAGAACATGCTCATTGAAGTTGCTCAAAAGACTTTCCGCCAGTTGTAATTCAGGCTTCACACCTGAGGGATAGGGAGGATTGACGCACATTTGCGCAGGCATTTTCCGAATATCGCCGGCAGCAACGGCGATCCTGGCGACTAGATCCATATTGTTTTCTCGTGGATAAGGTTTTTCATATGGCCCCACAGGATACATCCAAATACGAGAATTCCGGTGATCTTGGTAGCCAACCTATGGGACCACCACGACCAATCCATTGATTCATGGTACCATAGGTTGTCCATCTCGGTGGCCAACATATGGGACCACCACGACCAATCCATCGCCCTGGAAATTTTATGGTACCATAGGTTGGCCGTTTTGGTGGCCAATCTATGGGACTACCACGACGAATCCATCGCCCTGGAAATTTCATGGCACCATAGGTTGGCCATCTTGGTGGCCAACCTATGAGACCACCACGACCAATCCGTCGCCCTGGAAATTTCATGGTACGTATAACCAGCAATCCTCTAGGCAGTACAAATGCAGAAAATGCCGTTGGGTCCTAGGGACTGACCTTTTTTATTACCGCTTAAAATTTCACCCACTTGTTCAGATTCATCTTGTATATGTAAGAGTATAAAACGTTATACTTATTTTTTTTTTCAAATATTACAGTACTTGAAAAGATAAAGAGTCTTACATGGCAAGGAGAACTTTGGTGTTTAGCAACACATATTTGAGTGTGTTCGTTAACGCTGCAGTTTTCTTTAGACTGGACCATTTGATCAGACTGCTTCAAGAATTCTGCTCCTCCGGATCCTAAACAGGAAAAGTAAAATTTAAACTTTCATTGTTTGAGTTGTAGGATCTAATCTGAAAAGAGCTAACAAATGCCTTTTGAAATAATTAACATAGGGAAATTGTGAAGAAGAGAGGAGCAGCGAAAACATGTTTTATAAAATTATTCTTCAAAACGATCTGAAATAATTGCAAAAACAGCATTTTGTATGGATACAGCTTTCTAAAGTTTAATAATGTTTCAGAAAGACCACCGAAGAAAAATTTGTAGCTGTTGCCTACCACTTCGTTGGCTTTACATGTAAAAGTTTAATTGAATAAATAAGAAGTGATCAAATTATTGGATGGATATTGTTACTAAAAACAACTTGCAAGTCTTTGGTGACGTATAACCGATTTTCTCTCTCTCTTTTTTTTAATAAAGTCAAGTTAAAATCTCTTTTTCCCCAAAATAGGTTGAACAGCATCTGTTAGATATTGCAAGATAAAGCTTAGAATCTTTCGTGAGAAATGTAACTATAGAGCACGACGTAAATTTTGTAACATAGTTGTTTCTTTTAATAACTATTGGAAAGTTGCAAATGTTAGAAAACTTATCATTTGAATGCGTTCAAGTATTTCAACTGAATTGCATTCTATTTTATATCAATATGATGCATTATGAGAGAGAATAAAATAAAAAGTAGTGTTAAGAAGCCTTTTTATTGATTTTAAACTGCTGAATTTGTTAATAAATACCAGGTTGATTAAATATGAAAGGTAAATTAAAGATCTTATATTTTGAAGAATAGTAAAGAATACTCGGGAGTAAACTAGAGATCCTATGTTTCCCCTTGCAGGGACCTCAAGAATTGTTTCCAGATTCTTTCCGTTCTTTTTACCTTTCACTTTTGCCAGAACAGAATTTTAACCCTTTGACTACGAGTTAAAAACAATTTACCCCGTTTTCTCCAAGTGAGCAAAATATGTCATAAATAATGTCAATTTAGCAATTGGGATTTTTTTTTGACAAACGGTTTTCAAGCCCAGAGGCTAGGACACCTATGTCCCGGCCGTAGTTAATGGTGGTACAATGACACCTAATACTACAATGACACTTATGCTATTGCTACAATGACACCTAATTATTCTGGAAAACTTTATTATATGAAATAAAACTTACATCGCATGGTACAGGGTAAGACATTCATTTCATAACCCAACATTACATATTAGGCATAGTTTTCTTTTCTCTGTGTTGATTTGCGTACAACGAGTACAACGGCATTGTGATTTTCCAGCTATGAAAGATAATCTCCAACATTCAGGAGATTCTACGTGCTTTTTAATGCAGTAGTAATTTTTAAACTTTTAATAGGGCATATATGTTCCGTTAGTAGTCAAAGGGTTAAGTCTTAAACGAAACTGTTTTCTGCAGCAAATCTTGTAGAATGCGCCACCTACGTGCAGATTTTCTTACCTTAAGTATTATACATTTTTCTGATTAAAATCAAAAATTAATGTAAACTAGATTTGCAGACTGTAAATGTAAAATTTTGAAGTTTATGTTAATTATCTAATATGAGTACTTGGTTTTAAAATGTTTTCAGTTGAATGTTCAAACGCAGCTATTTTTTCTATGGGTATTATCGTGAAAGTGATCATTCTTACTGAGGAATAGTTAAAATAAGGTGAAAGTGCAGAATCGCCCACTGCTTGGCGCGTTTTTCAAAATCGCCAACTTGGCGCGCTCTCGCGTCTTTTCTCCTGGATTTGCAACCCCTCCGTAAGGGGCGCGACATTTACAATAGCGAACAGGTAAAATAAATACAAAATAAAAGTTGAAGAAAATTTTGAAAACTGAAAATCCTTTAAAAACAGCATAAAAACCGAATTTAATACTGCATTCAAAAGCTAGAAATTGAAATATATAAGTACATCTTAACTTTCACTTATATACGTAAAAATAAAATGAGAAAGTTTTGTAATTGATAAGGAGTAATTACTCCAAAACTACGAAGGATAATGAAATCTCCTTACCTCTGCTCTCCCCCCATCCTGTCACATAGCAAATAGTACCCGGCTGTAACTGCCAGCCAAGACTGGGCATACAGGCGGGCTGTACGCCATCGTTGAATTTCACTGGTGCGTTCAACTTGATGAGACTGACATCGTCGTTCATAGAATATCTCCTGATCTATAAAGAAACTTAATCAGAAAAATCCGTTAGGAAAACAATCAGAAAGTTAAAGAATATGGTAACTACTCTTATATGCGCCCTCCGGTCGCCAAATGTGGCGACAAATTTCTTGCCAAAGATTTTTGGTAAGAAACTCCATGGTGCCATATTACTATCTAAATTTTTTATCTACATTTCGAACTTTAAGTCTAAAATGTCTCCAAACACGTGGTTTTCGCACATGCAAAAATCACGTTTTGAACACACAATTTAAGCTAAAAATCTGAAACAAAACCAAAAAATTTAGATAGCAAAAACGTAAAGTTTCTAACCAAAAATATTTGACAAGAATCCATGTACACAGCGATAAAAAAACATCTGCGAATTGCACGAGCTAGGCAACGAACGAATCTACGAACTACGCACACCTCGCTTTAATAAATTAACATAACAACAATAAATTTCAAAGAATACCATATATACAGCATCCTGTTTAAACTTTAAAAAAAATCTACGAATTGCACAATCTAGGCTTTGCGCACAAATCAAGAAAATAAAGTAAAATAACTAAAATTACAAACAATTCAAAAAAACAACTATAACAACAGAAATTCATAGTAAAAAAACAATGAACATAACATTCTACAAAATAAAAACAGTGAAATAAAATGCACTTACTATAATACATTCGTTAATAAAATTTCGCCAGTCACACAATGTCTGTGAACAAAAGTGCCACGATATTGCTATATCACATCACTTTCTGCGATTCAAAATTCCTCATAAACAAACCCGTGAACAAAAGACTCGTTGGGAACTCCAACGTCGTACCTTACGCGACTGCCACCCCGTCTTGCAACCACGTCACGAATCTTGCCACCACGTCTATCATTGCAACATAGGCCATTTCAAAACACGCACGACACGAACCAATGAGAAATTAAACTACTGCACAAAAGAGTTAAGTTTCAACGTCAAAAGGGTTGCTATACAAACAACATCGTCAAAAACCAGCGCAGAACATATATCGCCAGATTTGGTGATCTTAGGGCGAATATAAGAGGAGAGCCAGGATATGCTTTAAGTGCACGAAAATATACAGCATTTTACCTTGATTTATTTTGCAAAATTCTACAGTTATTTAAATGTTAAAGTAAGAAATACATATCGTTTTTCCCCGTGTAATTCTCGCCACTTGTGTTTGATACTTTTATGGTCCGAAAATGAGAAGGCAAAAAGTTTTGGAATAATTTAATTTCCAAAGGACGCGTTACACTAAGATCTAGTTTAGTGCCAATAGCAATCGCATTAATGGTGGCCTTGCAAAGATTTCCCTCATCCGCAGACGACATCAAATGGTACGTTCTGATACACACTTCTGGGTAAAAGATCCTGATTTCTGAGCGAACGACTCTTGATGTTGCTGCGTGACCCGTTATTGTAATAAGCACAACATGCACACTTTCTATTTCTGTCGTGTAACAAAGCCGTAAAAATTGTTCCCAGCGGTCGGTCCGTTCTACGCGCGTCCACCTATTTTACATTTGCACCTTTATATCTTAATTTTGTTCAATGTGAGCACCGACTTCTCGGAAAGGTAATCTGCTGTCTCTACTGTTTAGTCAATTTCAGAAACTTGTTGTAGTACCTGCGGTGTTTTACCCCCCCCCCCCAACGAGGCATACTGGAGCTCATAGGTGGCGTTAGAGGCTCACGTGATTTGCATATGCGTTGCAATGTTAATCATTTTCATGCCTTATTGAGTTCTAGTCATAAACAATGACAATTCATTGTATGCTTTCTTCAATTCTTTATTCAAGTCTATTGTATGCTTTCTTCACAACGTTGCATTTTGGACTGCGAACAAAGAATTAACAATTTTCATAATTATGTTTTGTAAAAAATGTATATTACTTGGTCTAACTCATAGCGCTAGCCATTGAAAAAAATAAAATAGACGCCGTTTAATGTAATCAGATTACTGTTATCTTTCGGATATTGTCATCAAATTGCCGAAGTTCCGCCCGTATGTACACAATAACATGGGTGGTGGTGTATTTAATTATGGCAAAGCACACTAGGGCTATCTGCCTAAGGGGAGGACTTTCTAAGGGAAACTGGTTCGTATACACGTTACACATGGGGAAAACCATGAAAACGCCCATGCAGCCAGTCCGTTCGCAGGATTCTAACCTCGGACCGAACTACCAGTGGTTCAGCGATTTTACCGCTCGGCCGCTGGTGGGCCTCACGATAACATGGGAAATACATCGCCTATTGGTCTCAACAAGTCGGTTAATATGATCAACATTTTGTAGAATAAATATTTTAGACTGAAATAAAGTCACCAAATAAGTTTAAAATGTATTATAAACATTATCAGTTTACTGAGAAACATTACTAAGTAAGAGATTACGTCGCCAAACATATTGCTTTCAATTTTAGCTAACCATTTAAAAGTAAGTAAAACAGCAGTCTTAGTCTGACGTAGATTTTCGATAGCTCTATCGATTTTGAGATCAGATTTCAGGTCAGATACATCTCTTTTTGAGGAGCATAAAAGTCTGCAGGCAGTAAAAATCGAAGACCGACCTCTTTTCCTCATTTTAAATATTCCATTGCTATAGTGTCTTCCGGTGAATGAGGAACGTCTTCCGAATTAGGGGTACAGCATCGGTCAAATAAATTCCAGAAACGTTCTGAACCGTTCACAAACAAACTTTTACAATTCCCGTTTTAAAATGTTGGTAAAGTGCCTATTTATGCGTAGGTTGTCTGAAAAGTTTCCGACCTAACAAAGAGAAAAGATATTTTTTATCCAAAATTACTTTCGTTTTTCGACATAGTCTCCTTTTAAGTCTATACATTTCCAGCGATGCTCCCATCCCTTTAACCCAAACAAATAACATGTGGAATCTTTCTCTGACAACTCTCCTCATATCTTTGCCTCCAAGTGCTTCTTTTAGCTTAGGGAACAAAAACGTCACTTGCTGCAGGGTCTGATGAATAAGACAGGTGCTCAAGCAGTTCAAGCCGTCATTTCCGTTTCCATTGCCGTTTCTGCCATTGCAATCGCTGAGGTGTAAGATGGAGCACTGTCTTGGTGAAACAATTTTTTTTTTCTTTTGCAAATGTGGCCGTTTTTCCGCAATTTCTGTCTTCAGCTTCTCAAGTAACTTTGCATAGTATTCTCCGGTAATGGGTTTTTCCTTTTCAAGACAATCTATTAAGACAGTCGCATGGCTTTTTTTTGGAGCCGATTCTCCCTTTGCAGTTCGCTGTTTTGACTGTGTTTTTGTTTCTGGGCTGTCCGCTGTAGATGAAACCTGGATTCATCATTCTGTGATGATGAATCCAGGTTTAATCTACAGTGATTAATGGTCAAAACAACTCCGATTTATTACGCCAACAGAATAGTGCAAATGTTCATTCGGCCACGTTTTCGGTCCAAAGTGAGCAAAGGCGGCACCCAAACTGCAGCCAGCTTGCGCATATCTAAATCTTGGTTCAATATACAGCCAACACGTTCTTTGGACATGCTCATAGACTCTGCTATCTCTCTAACGTTGATTCGACGGTCGTCCAGTACCATTTGGTTGATTTTAGAGATGTTTTCGTCAGTGGTTTCAGTTTTTAGTCGTCTTGAAAGTTCATCCAAGCTGGTACGCCACGTTTAAATTCATCTGCCTAAAATTTCATAGTAGTAAATGATGGTGCAGAGTTTCCGTACACTGTGTCCAACTTCTTTTAATTTGAGTAGGTGTATTACCTTTCAAAAACAGGTATCTAATGACTGTACGATACTGGATTTTTTCCATTTTTTTGCAAAAGCGGTCACATCAACTACTAATACAGCAACTTGCTAATTTCGTTTTGGACTCCATTTTGTTTCCACGAAGTAAAGGCATGTTTTTTTTTACTCAACATTTTTTCCAACAATAGCCGAATTACGCTTATACTAGAACTTTTATGAAACAAAAATGCTTCATCATGACGAAGATTAGGTGTGAATTTTAGGAGAAAGTGCAGAATCGCAAACTGCTTGCCGCGTTTTTAAGAATTGCACATACACGTTATCTATGTACACGTCGACCTATTTTCACTTAAAAAAAAATCCCAGAATTGCACAAAAAATGGCATTGCGCACACTCTTGACTTTATCTATGTACACTTCGACCTATTTTCACTTCGACCTATTTGTCAGAGAAAATTGACAAAAATCCAATTCTTCTTACTCTTGTAAAAAGCGCCAAACAAATAAGTGGACGATTCTGCACTTTAGCAGCGAAATTGTTTCTAAGTGCTTATTAGCTAAAATCACGATCGGAATTTTCCGGAAAATGTCACATGACATGTCTCATGATCTCTCATTTCTCTGAGACAAAATAATCTGTGATTCGAACTGTGTACTTCTCAGATTATTGCTAAAGTCCTAGTTAGTAACCTTTATTGCCTTACCAAAATGTCGCCAAACTACATGTTACCATATTCCAAAGATTAGCCGGAAATTTTTATTGTTGTTTAATATTACCATTCGGTTAATGTTATCTATTTAATTACCTAATCACATTAATCGGCACTTAGTGTACAACAAAATTGGCCAAGGCTTTAAAAAATAGTTTATCATCCCTAAAAATTTCGTCAGCTTAAATCTAAAAACTACTCACAATTTCACTTTCAGAAATGTATGATTTTTACTAACTTCAATAATATTAGTTACATGAATTTAATAAAATTATTGCATTTATAACTTAAATAATTTTATAAATTAAAAAAAAAAATCTGCCGAGTGTACTCACATCGTCAAGCTCGAGATCGGGATAAGCAATCACTTTCTTGGAGATCCTCACTTGCTCATATTGGGTCTTTTTATATTTGCTGTGAGCTCCGAGATGAATTTTGATTCCGCCGGGATAGGGACTCCTGTTAAAAATGTTCAATATTAAAACGTGAAAAATAGTCTTCCAAAACTGAGGAACATTTCTACTTGCTTACGTTGCATATTTATATTGGCTCGAAATCTGAAATTAACCCTTTGTTGCATCATGTCCACTCTAGTAGACAAATGTTTAAATTAGTTTATTCTCCTGTAAATGTCTTAACAGATTTCCATTCCTGTGTTTATTCATTCTATATTATTATAACGTTCAAATGTTCGATCATAGATGGCTGTATAGCATCACTAAGTAAAACACTGCTATTTCGAAAATGGCTGCAACTTCTGTTTCCCAGTTAGTACAATTTCTCATAGTAAACATTATATAATAGTGTTTACATTTTCTTATACTGCCACGTTTTATTCATACTATTAGTCATGTTAGACATTTTATTTTAAATGTCAGTTTGAGAAAATTGTGGAGTGGGTAGATAAAGATCTACCAAAAAGAGTGAACTGAAACCCAAATGGACTGCTTATTGAGCCAAAACACCACTGGAAATGTTTATGTTTGGCAAGGAATTTCTAGAACATTTGACATTTGAATCCAATAGTTTCAGGTTACAAAATCGTAGCAAAATGAATTCAATCGCAATCCACGAAAGGAAAGTATTTTGTGGGATCTGTATGTATATGTCAGTTGTAGATTTACCGTTTAGAAGATGGTAATGATCACTGCAAACAAGGCAGGAAATGATTTCAAATGCAATGACCGTAAATCGTCGGGAAGAGATTTGTATGCATGTATGCATATGCATGCTGTCCGTTGTAGTGAACAAACTGTAGCCATTATTTAAAACGAAATTTGAATAAATTTTTTTTATTATTACGAAAGTTATTTTAAGTAGAAAAAATACAAACATTTTCGTTTCACTTCTCTAGATCATTTGTATGGAACAAAGGATTAATAATGTAAACATATAATGAATGATTTACCAGTTTTCATTTATTACTTTGTAGAGTCATTAGGTTAAAGGTCTAAGCCTAAGTCATTAGTTTTGAAAAGCAGGAGACATGCAACATAAGCAATGCCGTCGCCGAAACTCGAACCACGGACCTCTGACATACGCGCCGGGCGTGCTGACCATTACACCACGAAGGCATGCTAAGAAGCCAGGAGAAATAGCTTACATATTTCCCCTTTAAAAAGCGACTGGGGATTAGAGGACCCCATTGCTAAATCCTGGTGATGGAGAATAATTATCCATCACCTTTTTTAGTTCGGGCGCCACTTGTAGAGTTATTAGGTGAATTGGAAGCAGAAAAGATGAAAAATAAGCAATGCCATCGCCAGGACTCGAACCACGGACCTCTCGAATACGCGCTGAGCGTGCTGGCCATTACACCACGAAGGCACGCTAAGAAAGCTAGAGAAATACCTTATAAATTAAACTGAATTTTTATGCAGAATTTCTTACTTGTGAAAAGAATTCTAATAATTTTTGAATTATTTAAATCCTCGTGTTTCTGTAGGAAATAAGATATCTACCATTAGAATAAGTGTTCGGTAAATGTGACCACAATTTTCCGACGTCATTGCTAAATAAGATAATTTGGTATCAAAAAATTAATTAACTAAAATTTAAATAAAGAAATGAAACGACTAAAACTTTGTTAAGACGTAATCTTATTAGACGTAATCGCTAGTGATAAGCCATTTTGACGTGAAAAAAAAAGGGGACCTTTTAAAGCCGTCGTGAAAATCTAAACCCTTTAACATATTTTATTTATTTAACTTTTAAATTCATTATTTAAGCTGATACTTTTTGAGGCTTCCTTTCGCATTTTAGATGAATCTGAATCGATAGTAGCGTTCTTTTTGCCATTTGATGTACGTTCTCAATTTCTTACAATGGGAAAAAAAACTTCTACTGATTTATTTTGTCGAATGATGGAACAACTGTCACACAATCTTAATTATTACTAAAATTGTTACATTTAAAATGGTGCACAAACCTTTATCTTAGAAAATGGTAGAAACTCATGTTCTGGAAGAAGGGGGAAGGCATTTGTTAAAAGTAATTTATGTTGATAACTTTGTTAAAGTAATGACTAATGAAGCTTTCCTCCGTTATGATATTTCAATCAATTAAATTAACCAATCAATATTTACTTTTTAAACAGAACTTCTTAAATACCTTTTTTTGGTTGGATGGTGCAATATATCTACTTAATGCTTTAATGTGTCAAGACAACAGTTTGCTAAGTAATTTTTTTTTTTAATTTAGGGTCCTGCTATCCTAGAAGCATGTGTTAATGGCTTGCAGAACTCTATTAGACTAGAAACAATTTATCCCTTTAGACTGAAGCAATGATAATTATTAAGAAGGTTGAAGTAACGTTTTTATTTAACTGTTGCTGAACAGATGGCACCACTTGTACGACACAGAAAACATCCCTATATGCCAGTATTTAGATTGGCATAAGATAAATTCAAATACAGGTAACGTAGTCTGAGACTACAAACTTAAAATAGACTACTTAAGCTTGCTCAAAAAAACTAACAAAGGGTGGTTTAACCTCTTCGTCGTCTGTAACGCGTCTAGCGCGTTCAAGTGGAACTTCCGCAGGGCGGCCGTAACGCGCCTCAAGCGTTATTCTACATTAAAAAACTTTTAAACGTTTAAAAATGTTTACTTGTTTGAGTTTTTAATTTTGTTTGTTCTAATACCTCCTAGAGGGCAGTACTAATCAGGTATTCTATTTCTAATTGAATTTTGCTCAGGGTTTTATGAATATTAGCGCCATTTTACATAAGATACAAAACAGTGAGAGATGGCTTCAACGTCTACTCAGCAGAAAAAAAGAAAAAAATATGTTGTGAATTGGAAAGACAAGAAGGATATACGTTTGATGAGTACAGTCCATAATAAATCTATGATGGATGTTGGAACACGGAAAAGAACTGTAAAAAAACCTATAATTGTAAAAGATTACAACAACAAAATGGGAGGAGTGGACCGCCTGGATCAGATGTTATCAAATTATCCTGCTCTTAGAATAAGCAGAGATATTATTTTTTTTTCCATTATGCTTTATTTCCTTATAATTTTACTTAATATTCATTGACATTCATCCGCTACGAAAGTCATGCGTGGAAAGTTATGATGTACAGAGAAACGAAAAATAGACGCTACGAAAAACAGACGGCCGCTGAGGGGGGGGGAATTTTCGCGGACAGGAGAGGACGGCGAAAGGGTTAAATGCCGGCCAGCGTGATGCTAAAGCCGAATAACTTTGGCAGAGCTGGCGATAGTTTAATGAAAAACAATCGAACATTATAATAAAAATATGTAAAATAAATGTGCGTACAGTGTATATAAGTGCTCGCGTAATTAATTTTTTGTGCGAGAATTACTTACCCTACGACGCAATGCGTAGCTGTTACAACCCATTGGGCGTTTATGAGAGTGCCTCCACAGAAATGGCCATTAGGATCGCTGAAGGAATATTGGAGAGATACTTGCCATGGCCAGCTGTTGGGAATGACTGGTTCACCACCTACTATACGATCTGGGGAACTATCCGGCGCACCCCAGGTGGTTTTCGGTTTGATGGGCGGATTTCCGCACTCCTCCGGGAATTTAACTACGGGAAAACCTAAGAAAAAGTGTCAGAAAATCAGAAAAATGTCAGGTAATATACGAGGGTATTTCGAAAAGTAAACATTCAGCGTACGCCAGAGGAAAAGAAAAGTTTTGGTGAGCAAGTTGACAACACAGGTGTTAACCTTGAACCGTTAGCTTTCTCCTCGCGGTCGTTTGGCATTTCAACGTTGATTCTGGTTGGAGCAGGTAGTGTTTAAAATGGATGCGCCGATTCAGAATCCCACGCAATGCGAAGTGCGCTCCGTCATACGTTTTCTTCATGCAAAAGGTCAGCGACCAGCAGATATTCACAAAGAAATTGTTTCTGTTTATGGGAACATTATGAATCGAAAAAAGGTAACGAAAGGGTGTCGACATTTCTCTGAAGGTAGGACCGATGTTCATGACCAACAAAGAACAGGTCGGCTACCTGTGATCTCTGATGCCCTTCTTCTGAGAAGAAAGGGAGCAATTCGTGCGAATAGACGTCTCAAATTGAAAGAATTGCATCCGATTATATCGGAAGTATCAATGACAACTCTATATGAAGTTGTGACTGTCAAGAGTTAGGGTACAGGAAATAGTGTGCGCGCTGGGTTCCAACAGGCGGCAACCTTCTAGACTGTGGGATACAAAAGCTTGTGCTCCGACTTAACAAATGTTTGGATAACGGGGGTGATTATGTCGAAAAATAATAAATAATCCAGTTAATAAGATGTAACTGACGTTTTCTAAATATTTTTTTTTTTTTTTTTTTTTAAGGAATGCGAGCCATTGTATCTTTACTTTTCGAAATGCCCTCGTATTTCACTGCGATTAAATTAGATTTTGAAATAAAATAATTCGATTAAATTAGATAAAATTGTTTTCGAAAAAATTTAAAAAAATATTAAAAAAAAAAATAAAATTGTAAAAATAAATCATAAAAAATAAGAGAATAATATTTGGATTAAGAAAAAAAATTTCGAATGGTGAATGGAAAAATCAAATAAATTTAATGAAAGAGATATTAATAATTATATACAAGATTCAATTAACATTGTGGGGCTAACATTTTGAAAACTTTTTTTAAAAAAAAAACTACTCGTGCAATTTTTACAGAACTTGGCAGTTTGACATAATTTGAGTCTTAGAATCGAAATATGGGAAAAAAATTGGCATGCCATTTCAGAAGAAATCCGATTTTGCGTCATAATACCGAACAGCTCTAATATCTCCCGTTCTACTGGGCTTATTGACGAAATTCAAATTGCATTTTTCATGTCTCGAAAGCGCGACTTAAACTACATAACTATTAGATTTTGTATATAGTATTGTTCTACTGTAGTCATTTTGACAAAAAATCGGACAATTTTAACAAAGTGCGTTAACCACATTTATCGTTACCATCGCTTATAACAAATATGCCAAATTTCAAAACTCGCCAATATATAAATTCATGTATACCTTAGAAAATTTTGAATAAAAAACTCTAATTTTTCACTGGTGTGCCTAGAAATACATGTACTTTAAGACGATGTTAAAAATTTTGAAAAGCTATAATTCAAATTTTTTTTCGAAAAATTTGTAAGAATTACTTAAAAATACGAATTTTAAAAATAAGTCATACATAAAAATGAGCGAATTTTACTTGGAACGAACCTAAATTTCGAAATGCGAAGGGAAAAATCAAATAAGTTTAATAAAAAAAAAAAGAGAGAGATGTACAAATATATACAAAATTCAATTAACATTGAGGAGTTAAAATTTTGAGAGCTAATTTTTTAAAACTACTCGTGCGATTTTTACAAAACTTGGCAGTTTGGCATGATTTGAGTCGTACAATCGAAATATGGAGAAAACCTGTCATGTCATTTCAGAAAAAGTCCGATTTTGTGTCAAAGTATCTATATTAAAACAATGCTATATATAAATCTAATACATATCCTAAGTCGCACTTTCGATACATGAAAAACGCGAGTTGAATTTCGTCAAGAACAAGAGATATAGAACTGTCTTCGTTTTTCCCCTCGCAATGTACACACAAATTCTCGATTATTTAACAATTATTTTAAAAAATACATGACGATATATGAACAGCTGAAAATCAAAAAACTGAACGTCACAGCATCTCAAATTCAATTAACCCAAGAAAAGTCAAGAAAATTTTGTAACAGGCGAAACAATATATGAATGCTATATACAAATACTTGTTTTCAAGAATATTTTTGATTTGGTTATTATTATGAACGACAAATGAGAGTCTATTTTCAACTTACCACAATCTTCCTCGTCAGTTCCATCCCCACAATCATCCACACCGTCGCATTTCTTTCTGGGATCGTAACAGTTGCGGTTTTTACATTCAGAATAGCCGGAATCACAGAGTTCTAGTAGATGCAATAAAGTGCGTGTGAGATTCAGAGCACGAAAATATATAATATTCTTAAATTTAAATTTTGTAATGTATTTTAAATTTAAACTAATAACAAAGATAAAAATTATATAAATATTACAGGGCTAGCGAGAAACATTATATAGATGAATGAATGCTCAACAATATTAAGGGGAGAGAATATAGAGCAACCATTTTGATGTTTAATAACTCATAAAATAATGAAGATATAAATAAACTTATGGCATTTATTGATTGGAATAACTAATATATTTTCCTTTTCAGGTTTCAATATCTTTACTTTTGTAAATATCGTCGGCGCGTGTGGTTCATTTCAGATCATTTCATTTTCCAGTCTAAATATAAATATCGTCTGCTTATTAACTGAATTTTTCTCTCTTTTGTTTTTGGCAACTATTGCAATTTTATGGACTTTTTCCTTTGGGATTTGTACAGGAGAACGTTTACAGGAGGAGAGACCTAAAAGCCATGGATGACCTAAAAGCCAGAATGACAACCGCAATAGCTTCTTGTGGATGCCGACATGCTTGCCGGTACCTGGCGTGAAATTGAAATTGAATATCGACTTGATATTCTCCGTGCGACGAAGGGGGCACACGTGGAAGTTCACTGACAAGGGTCATGAAACATTTTGAATCTATCTAACCATTTATGTTATTAATTTTAATCTATCGCTATTATTTTATGAGTTATTAAACATCAAAATGGGTCCGGGACTTTATAAACACCCTGTATATTCCTTTGAGTATAGCCAAAATTAGGATTTTTAATTGATAATTACAAAAAAGGTGTAATTTACAAAAGTTTAGCATTCCTGTAATTTTTTATACTAATAAAATTACACATTTCTGTCTTTAAAAATTATGTTTCTGATACGAATTCTTAGAGGACATACAGATTTCTTGTCAATGAGGCTTTAGATAAAGTGAAAAAAAAAAGTCAGTCTTAAAATTTTGCATCAGGGAGCATGAATATTATGTTTGAAAAAAAAAAAGAAACAAACAAATCACCTATTGTACAGCATCTGTTTGTCACCACTAATTAATTTCGCTTCTGCCAAAATCAGCAAACTATTTAGATCAGTTGATAAATCAGATTTCCAGTGGTCTCGTACCCAAATTGTATGGAACCAAATTCTCGATATGAAAGGAGCTGACGGGTAAGAACATAATTTTTTAACAAAATTTAAAAACGTTTACAACAAAAGAAAGCCCAAAAAAATAACTAAATAAAAAATTAAAATTCCATTTACTGAATATTTATCAAAACATAACACAAACAATAATAATAGGAGCACAAAGGAAAAAATCAAGTTAATTTTGTGTCGGTAAGAAAAGAATTCTGGTTTGCACCAAATAGGCAGCATTTGTTTTGTTATTATTCTGGCATTCTTAATTTTTTTTCTTCTGAGAATTTCGCAGTTGGCACTTTTAGACTCCTATAGAAAAGAATTTTGTGCATTTTTATTTACGACTGCTAGTTTACGGTCAATTTTGTTATGGGGAGCAAAAATAAATGTTTTCCACACATTTTATCTCTTTTTATTTTTGTGAAGGCAGGAAATTATTCCATTAGAAGACATGCAGACAGGCAAATTTGGCTCGTTTCTCCGAATCATCCCTAGTATGAAGCTGATTGTCCTGGAAGATCTCTTGCTATTGATTCCGATAGATGTGTTCAGACAAAACTTTCCCGATTCTTCAGTGGACACCTAAAAGGACTTACTTTTGAGAGAGGTCTCAAGATGCGTCCAGTTTGTTCTAAATGTCAAAATGCACTGGCATCACCGGCACACATCCTTGAGTGCCTGGAGTTGTCTCTTGAGGATCTTTACAAGTCTCCTTGTTTTCGATTTTCTGAAGGTAAATGGACTCATGGTCCTTGTCTAGTATATTCCTAGACATGGAGATTAGTAACAACAAAACGCATGTATCAAAAATTGGTTAAAAAGGCTTCGTTCTGCAGAGATTTTTCCACTTGAAAAAGGCCAATGTTCTAGCGACAGTCTAGGGTTCATAATGACAAAATTCAAAGCATAGTTGAATGGTGGTGTCATATAACTGTGCGAGAGATTTAAAAAAGATTATATGTATCACACACAACAATTCAGAATTACTTAAGTTTGTAGAGTCATTAGGTTAATTGGAAGCCAGAGAGATAAAAAATATGCAACCACCTTCCCCGGGAATCGCACCACGGACCTCTGGAATACCAGCCCAGCGTGCTACCGTTACACCACGAAGGCGCGCTAGGGAAGTGGGAGAAATACCTTATAAGATGTCTTGTACTTGTCAAGGAGATCGATATTTGGGTTTTCCATGAACTGAAACAAATTCACATAGCACAACGAATCATTATTTGCAATTCACATTTCAAATTTACGCAGTTGACCCTTTTTTGAAACGAATTATCACTGGTGTTAAAAAATGGATCGTCTACAATAATATTAATCGAAAAAGATCATGGTCCAATCATCAGAAATCCTAGGGAAATCTAAATTGCATCAGAAATAGAGAACGGCGTGAGTTTGATGTGGTGTGTTTGATCTGCTTTCAAGCAACTCAACGATCTTCTCTGATAGTTATTGCTAGCAGCTTTTGAAACTGGAAAAAGCAATAAAAGAGAAAAAGGTAAGAATGGTAAAGAAATCGTATTCCACTCCAACAATACGAGGCTTCACACATTTTTAGCAACATGCATCACATTATTTGAGCTTGGCTGGGAAGTGATGTAGCATCCGCAATATAGCCCCAAATTTGTGCCGTCGGATTATCATTCATTTCGAAGTTTACAAAACTTCTTAAATGGTAAAACGTTCAGTAATAACGATGACATCAAATCCCTGTTGGTTGCGTTCTTTGCAGATGAAGGCCAGAAGTTCTGTGACAGCGCAATCATGACGTCACCGAAAGGATGACAAAAGGCCATCGAAACAGAATGGAAGACATTTGACTTATAATGTCCCTCTCTACTTTGATGAAAGGTCGAGGAACCTTATGAACAGTACAGCGAATTATTGCTGAGATCAAGCACTAACAACGTAGATTCACTCACAGAAAGGGTAACAGATAGCCCCTTCTCAGGCATACAGGAAAGCTTCTACTCGGACTTTTAAATCAGGATAAGAAGAAAAGAAACTAAACTACTACTAACTAAAATAGTTTTAGCCGAAGCTAGACACAGGTATCTAATGTAGTTTGCCTTTGAATTAAGCTAACCGGCGATTATCAACAGATGCGTACAATAGGGCCGAGCGTCATAGATACGCAAATGGAAGTAGCTGAAAGGCAAACGCGCGCCACTAAGGACTCCTAATTACCCTCTTTTTCGAAGTAAATAGAACTTCCTTTAAATACTATTCCTAACTCCTAAGAGCGTTGCAGCTATGTACTATCGTCAAACTACGTTACCTAAATTTGACGTTTAATAAATTACGTTACTACTTTACAAAAATTTGAATTTAACTCCATTTTATTTTACTTTAAATACCCGGAAGTGGCTGACGTCCATTTATAGTCAAGTAGTGCCTTTAAGGAGTGCCTGTCATTTAAGGAATTAAATACAAAGATTATTTCAGCTTTCTTTTGGCTTGGTCATTTGCTCCAAACTAAACCGATAACTTAACTTTGCAGTATAACAGCTCTTTCAGGGCACTGAGATAAGCTTCTAGACATAGCAGAAACTCACACATTTTTACCTCCAGTGTTATTTTTACAAATTTTACTTTTTTATTACAGAATACAGAGCTAGCAGGGTAAACCCATTTCCCAAAAGACACATCAGATACCAGCGGAAATATATTGTTACGAAATGTCAAGGCGCGGTGAGATGGCTTCCACGCAAAGCAGTTTCAGAGTTGCCATAAAATTGCAAGGGAAGGCAGGGTTGCCACATTTGGCGAGAAATCTGGAACGAATTCTTACCGGTTTAGCCCAGAATGTTCTCGAACACACGCCGATTACGGTTAGTGCATCGTCGAGAGAGCGTGTTGAGCTCCGGGAAGGACTGAACCGAAGAGTCGGGAGCCGTGCTCTGTGTGTCGTCGAGTGCATTGCAAGTTGCAGCGTTGAGAGTCTCGAGAGTACGTGCAGTTCCGAGAACGACCGAGCAGAGTCGGGAGCTGTACTCTGTTGCTTTGCTGTGAAGCTGTCTCTACCCTTATTGCCTGACAATGCAAAGGCTGTGTCGTTGATTGTTCCAGCGTGTTTATAGTAGATCTTCGACGACTGTAAAAGTGTTTTGGAGCTGTCCTAATCAATATCGGTAAATAAAGTGTGTTTCGATACTTAATCAAGTGTCGTCGTTATTCACTCCAAATCCACACGAACCCCGAACGAACGTGAAGGAAGAAAATAACGTAACAACTGGTGTCAGAATAAGAAAGAACCGTAACAACTGGCGTCAGAAGAGAAAAACGTAACAATATTTCTCTAATCCCGACACTTTTAATGAAAATTTACTGTAAATATTAATTTAACTGGGAATGGCGATTTATTAGTTGGTATTCTATGTAAGAAAATTATATCATAGTATATCTTAGCATACTTTTGAACATAAAATTTGCAAATGAATTAACTCACTCATGTAAGGCGAGCTTTCGTATTCTATAAGGAAACCTCTTCCTCCCCTCATGTAGTCAGTCTGAAATAAAAATCGAACTTCGTTCTCTCCTTCATTGGAAAGGATAGGTCGAGGCAACTGAGATCCGCAGAGCATAGCCAAAATACTCTGCTTATCCTTGCCGTATACTATCAGCTTATCTTGAACACAACCACTAGAAGGATCGATGTCGAAGTCCTTGAAAGTGAGCTTAATTCTCTGAAATAGAAGAGCTTTGCGTGACATTTAACATAAAAATAATTGATCTAACCATCAATACTAACACTGAGTATAAGATTTAATTTGACTTAACATGTTATATTTTATATTGGATCTTTCGTGCACACCTGCTCCACCAAAAATGTAAATTAAATGAATTTAACCCTTTCCGGCACGCTACCCTAGTCGGAGTTTTGGTTTAAAAAAAAAAGGTAGGCAGTCTAATTAGGCCTAGAGGAGTACACAAGTAAAATTTTGTGAAGATAACACTTACCGTTTTAATTCTGTTGGTGTGTCCAAAGTGGCACACTGATTGAAAAGAGCTTCGAAAAGAGTGCTGAAACGAGCATTGTTGTCAATGAACTGACCGATAAGATGCGGAAAAGCAAAGAATATAGACTCTCAGTTGTCCTAGATTATTGGTGAACCCACTCTGGGCACACCTAGGGTTCGCCGTTTAATTTTAGGCAAGATTTCAAGGTAAAAATTTAAAACTAATATGGAATAAGGAGATTAGCATACATTCAAAAAAATAACAAAGAATTTTTTTTTAAACAGTTCCTTTTATACCCTAAAAAAATCTGGAAGATTTCTTTGAAAAAGGAGGGTCTTAAAAAACTAAACATGCCTAAAATATATGGACTGGTTTGTGTTGAGCTGCCATCTACTATAAATAAAGAAGGTTCAGAGTAACCTATAGTAACCTATAAATCCTCTTCCATTCAATTTTTCTGTGCGTACAGAAGGAAATTTTTGGGTAGACCGGACACACTGTGCCGCAAAGGGTTAAAACAGTATAAGAATCGAAGTTTATAAAAAGCACTTTGACAACTTAAAATATTACGTCCAAAGGGAAAAAGCTGTCTAAATTAGGCTTGGTAAGCTTGGATCCAATTTAATTAGCTCAAACGGCGTCGAACCAGAAGGGCTCTTAATTTCGTTTTGTCATTTTGTGTTGAAAACTTTAATTGTCGGTTCACTTTTCAAACTGTTGCCACCAAATATTACAGCCCTGTATAGTATCTAAAGAAATTAAATAATGAAGGGCATGCATAAATGTATGTATGTTTCTCGCATTGTGATAAAATAAAGGTACCTAGAGTCATTCAATTTTGAATAACGTACGTCCCCACCCGAATATGGGCAACTTTGGAATTTGTTTTATTACCTACTAGGTGTACCCGCCCGGCGTTGCCCGTGCATTTAGAAAATGCAGATAAGTGAATAGCGCAGGAATAGTAGTGTAGGACATGTTGACTGTCTCTCTCTCTTCCCCCCCTCAAGCTACAAAAAAGAAATGAACTGTAATTAATCGATTTAATGTATCGTCAAAACAGCAAACTAACGCTAGAATAAAGAAATCAATTGTTACAATCGAACGTTATTTGAAAACAAATAATAATATCAGTGAGTCAAAAAAACCGTGATTAATTAATTATAAATAATTTTTTTAAAATTTTTCTAATTCAAAAATCGAAAATCGGGCTTCGAGGTCTGGTGGCCAGCCCCTTTGTGCTTCCGTATAAAAAATTCCAGGTCCCTGCGTGCGATAGATTTGGCTGGAGAGCTCGGTCAGACAGACAGACAGACAGACACATTACACTTGCTTTTATTATTATAGATTTTTTATTTTGTAAAATTTGAACAAATTTTTGGTTAACAAACTCAACGGTTACAAAGCTGGCAATGCCAACACTGTACGAAAAAATAACATTTTTATCACTAGCGCGCAAGAATGTGAACCGGAAATTCTTAAGATTTGCTCATTTTTTAAAAATTATTTTGTGATATTGCCATTGAACTGAGTTTTATGGTAAGAATAAAGGTAACACACAAAACGCAAAAAAAATAAATAAATAAATAAATAAATAAAATTCCCTTTGGACGTAATATAAAATCTGAAAACGTCCTATTTTATTTATTTACTTATTTATTTTTCTGTAAGTTATCTTTCTTCTTTGGAAAACCTCAAGGCGAGCGAAAATTTACTGAAGTTACGTGTATAGGCGCTTTATCTCTATCTCTAAATATCTATGTGGACAGGCAGTTTTCAAGCTTTAATAGCTTGATTTGTAAATATACATTAGTGTTCTGCTAGGCCGCAAACAATTGCTCTGTCTATTCTGCAGATTTCAAGCTGATGTAGTAATTAATATTTTAGTTTAATATTGTATCGTTATCAGTTATAATTTAGAATTCTAAGATTAAAGAAAATTCATCTGTGAAATTAGTAAGATTATTAAATTAGTTTAAGTGGCTTGATTGGGTTTATTTAATTATGGAAAAATACGCAAAGACTATCCACCTAAGAGGAGATATGTCTTCGTGGAGGATAAATGAAGAAAACCACGCAAACACATAGCCCCCGTTCGCCTGAAATCGAACCCTGGTCGAACTACAAGTGTTTAGCGACTATACCGCTCGGCCGCTGATGGGCACTAGTTTATTTAGAATTAGAAAGTGGATTTGTATATGTATTATTTGAGGCATGGAATGATTTTTGTACGGTTGACGATTAGGGAAGGATTTAATTATTATATGTCATATCTCTCGGATACCTGCTACTTTAATCTAAATTAATTTAGAATATATATGGATTAATTAATTTAGAATTAATCTAAATTAATTTACAATATATATACACAAAGAAAAAAAATTGCTTAATTTTCAGAGTTTTAATATAATAGCATATATACGTATTTTAATCTATAACTGTTAATAACTCTTGCAGTTAAAACATTCTTAGAAAAATAGGTGCAAATATTCAAGTAAATAACATACTTCAACGTACAATTCACTACATGCAATGCAAGCTGTGAGGTAAGGGACTCAAAAGGATTTAATATCATTTTTCGATCCAAAATTTGTAAAATAGTATTAGAAACTTACGTAGCCTTCTGGTGCTCTTATTCTGGATTCGCACCATAACCCATTATGGTAGACGGGCCTCTTTCCGTAGAACGGGCTGGACAGTGTTCCTTTCGTAGAAGCATCGTATTCGTATAATATGTGGCACTGAAAGTCTTCCGTATCTATGTCCTCAGAAGCTAGAAAAAGAAATGGCGATAGAAGAAAAGGAAGTCATTGAAAAGATATAAGAAATAATTTACGACTGTACATCCATAAAGGCTTCATCAAATTTAAGTGCTTAAATTCCCATATATTTTCCTACTCACTTTCAATTTTAAATGCTTAAGTATCCTTCTTATTTTTGCAGCAGAAATTTATTAGTTCATTCAAAATTATGAAGTACAGAATTAAAAGAATCCATCTTTCCGTCTTGTGCTCCCAAATCATTATGCGAAAATGAGTTTACAGCTTTTAGAACCTGAAAACGCATGCGTGCGATCAGTCACGCTATGATTTGTGGGTACATTAAGTTTTACCACGATATTTTCGACGACGACGTTTTTAAATTGCGAAGTTTTAAACCGCTTTTATTTTCGACCACGATATTTTGTACCACGATGTTTTAGAACTGCGAAGTTTTCTTCTTTGCTTTCTTTTCTCCCACGATGTTTTCTCTTTGCTTTCTTTTCTCTCACGATGTTTTTTACCACGATGTTTTCGGCGGACATCAATATGTCAATTTTAGTCCATTAAATGTCGCAAAAAATTTATCATAATTAATCAGAAATAAATAACGCGAACACACAAAATCATACAAACAGACGTTCTTCTTTATATGCATAGATTTTGTAAAACTTGCAAATTTTTGATTAACAAACTCTACGATTTGAAAGCGAGCGATAGCAACACTTTTCGAAATAAAGCATTTTTATCTCCAACGCCCGAGAGTGTTGCCACTCGGAAAGCGAGTGCGAAAATGAGCGTTTTGAAATCGGGAATAATGTATTTAATGTTTGCCAATGCTATTTAGATTTCATCGTAAAACTTAGAAATTTTTATTAACAAATTCTTGGATTTGAAAGCGAACAGTGGCAATAACTTTCGAAATAAAGCAGATTTTCATCTCCAGTTTGCGAGACTGTTGCCATTCGTAAAAATGAGGGGGAAAATTACCGTTTTTCCGAGTTTTGAATTCATATCTTTGAGTTGAGCTACTTGTTTTTTTTTTTTTTTTTTTTTTTTTTTTTAAAGAAGAAGAAGAAGATGGACGCCGAGCTTTTCCAGGACCCAGAAAAGAATTGTAGAAAAATTGGTGACGATAGCTATACTAGTGACTGGGTTATTAGAAGACAAAATCTAAAATTTACATTGGGCACTGACGTATAATATCTGTACTTATAAAGGGTCCCATATCTCAAATAGCTTAGGGCCTTATTAAGTCTAAATCCGGCCCTGGTTACCGCCATGTATTATTTTTAAAGATTTTGAGTCGTTAGGTATTTTTTGGAAGCAGGCAAGATGAAAAATTAGGAAAGTCTTCGCTAGGAATTGAACCACGGACCTCTGAAATACCGGCCCAGCGTGCAAACCCACTGCACCACGAAGGCACGCTAGGAAGGCGGGAGAAATACCTTATAAATAATTAATATGGCGAATGCATAAAACAAATTATGGCAATATTTAATACTCTATTGGTAATTCCAATTTCAAATACTTTGTGATCCTGTTGATGAATTTCATGAGGCTTAATTGTGAAGAAAGTGATTTTTAATAAAACTAAAAAGACAGAAAAAAGGTGCGCAGATCATCTCAAGAAAGCTGAACATCAATATGATGAACTAAGAAAAGATAGTGAAATTGCAGAGAAATTAGGATTTTTTGGAAGCCAGAGAGATGAAAAATTAGCAACCACATTCGCCGGGAATCGAACCACGGATCTCTGGAATACCGGCCCAGCGTGCAGAACCACTACACCACGAAGGAAGATGGGAGGAATACCTTATAAAATAATCTTAAAAGCTCTTCTTTTGGAAAGTATTTCTTATTGAAAACTAGCGAAGTATGCGATTCCAGTTAAGTTAGATTGCGAGTAATGCATGTAACAACACAGAAAACGGTAACCTGTAACCTTTCTCTAATAACGATGCAAAAAATACGATTCAGAGTCATACATTTTTCAGTCGGATGCGATATGGAGCTCGCATAAATACTTTCCATGGAAAAATAAGCTAATTCTCTCTCATTATATCAGAAACAATGGCAGGCAGTTTTTAATGATTTTCCTCTTTCTAATCAAATGGTCGTAAAAGCTAAAGTTCCATCCAATATTTCACCTATATTCAATTTGAGTCGATGAAATGTGGCAAAAAATTTATCAGGAATCAATAACGCGAACAAAAAAATTACGCATTCATACAGGCATTCTTCTTTGTTGTAAAAATCACAAACTTTTGATTAACAATCTCTACGATTTAAAAGTGAGCAGTGGCAACAATTTTCGAAGTAAAGCATTTTAATCTCCAACGCGCTATATTGTTGCCACTCGGATAAATGAGTGCGAAAATTAGAGCTTTCAGAGTTTTCAATTAATATTTCGGCTGATTAAAGTCGGACTAAGATGGGAATAGTCGAAATGGCTTCCTACGAATTTTTGCAATCGGGAATAATGTAATTAATATTTGGGAATGCTATTTTTATTTCATCATAAAACTTTGAAATTTTTTATTAACAAACTCTACGATTTGAAAGCGAGCAGTGGCAACACTTTTCGAAATAAAACAGATGTTCATCTCCAGCGTGCGATACTGTTGCCACTCGGAAAAATGAGGGCGAAAGTGATCGTTTTTCCGAGTTCTTAATTAATATCTCTGATTTTAGCTACCTTTTTGTGGAAAAAAGTACACGTCAACCTTTTCCAGGACCCAGAAAAAGAATTGTAAGAAAGTTTGGTGACGATAGCTGTAGTAGTGACTGAGTAGAGGATAAACAAACAGAATTTTATCTCTCTATATATATAGATAAAATATTTCTTGGAACAAAATAAAACGCGTATTTTGTTGAACGTAACCTGAAAGAAATGTCTCATTCACTCAAGTGTTTGAATCATCGATGAAATAAAATAAAGTAAAACATTTCAAATCACAGCCTTTTTAAAAAAGTGCAATAAAATGTAAAGTATATTTTTTACCTTACGCAATAATTTTGAGCATACTCAACTGAAATTAAAATTCAAGTTCTGTTGACCATAAAAGATTGTAAAGACTCTTTGACTAAGAAAAGTAACGAAAATCCAAGTGCCGCCCAGACAGGAAAGTGTTTAGGACCTGGCTTCGAATCCCGGTCAAGGCTTGGATATAATTTGTTCGTACCTCCATAGGAGACAAAGGTGGCCAACCTACTAGGTGCTTTCATAATTAAAAGACCACCGCTTCCGGCCTTAGTAGTGGCTATCGCCTACAGACAGCTAGAGGCCATCATTTGGAGGGGGGATCGAAATACTTTTATGAATGGGGGATTTTAAAACAAAATTATCATTTAAACATTATCATTTTAACAAAATTATCATCAAAGTCATTTAAAAGCAAACAAAAGCCTATCTCTGCTGTTTTATAATATCACAGATGAAAAACTGCTTTTCAATACTCCTTTTCTTTTCTTTTCTTTCCTCTCTCACTTTCCCTTTCCCCCCTAAATTTTATTTTTTAAGGAATGAAAGTGTAAAACGCGGCTTACACAATTAAGTTAGGTAGTGATGCTTTTGTATTTTCCAGTCCACCGTGAAAATTGGCTAGTATCGAACCATGAAATTTAGCGGAAATCCCCCTAAAGTTTCACCAATCTTTCTTGAGAAATTCTGGGCCGCATTTCTGTTTACAATTCTTGCAATAAAACATTCGTCAGTATCTCTGCATAATCCGAGTAGTCTTAAAATTGCACTGTCCGGACAAAATTGTAGTTAATTTAGAATATGCTCAAATTTGATTAATTTTAATTCTGTGAGTATGCCTGAGAAAAACCTTTTTGTCCCTTGTGCTTTTGGAAATGAAAGATCTCTGTTTCAAATGCAAACAAGATTTTCTTCCTATGAAATATTTCCTTTCTGAACTGTTATTTAAATTTGTGTAAAGACTCATGTTCATTAAAGCATCAGCTGTTTCCAAAGCCCACCAGCGGCCAAGCGGTAAAATCGATTAACACTGGTAGTTCCGACCTGGGCTCCAATCAAGGCGATAGGGCTGGTTGCACGGGCGTTTTCGTTGTTTTCCCATGTGTAACGTGTATACGAGTCAGTTTTCCTTAGAAGGTCCTCCATGCAGGCATTCCTCGCCTTAGGCAAATAGCACTAGTGTGCTTTGCCTTAATAAACCAAACCAAACTCTCATATCAAAAATTTCAATAGTATTTAAAAATGCAAGAAAAATGAATGTGGATTTTAATATCCTGCAGGGTTTTAATAACTCCAGAGCTGCAATAATAACCTTCTCTGAAAAACTGGTTTTCTGAATCAGGGAAAGAGAATCACTTTGTATTAAAACCCGCCATGATTTCAATAAAAAATTTCGAATGCTTTCGGATTTTATATTATATCCAAAGGGGCGCTTTGTTAAAACGCTTTGTATGTTGCCTTTATTTAATAAATATCATGTTATTCGCACATAAACTATAAAATTCGATTCTACAGCAATATCGCAAAATATTTAAAAGATCATATCTTTAAAATTTCCCGATCACGCCTTGGAGATAAAAATGTTTTCTCTTCGGTACAGTGTTGCCATTGCTCGCATTGAAATCATTGAGTTTCTTGATGAAAAACTCATAGATGTTTTATAAAATATGAAATAGGTAATAAAACAAGTTCCAAATTCCAAAATCGGGCTTCCAGAAATCCATAATCGTAGACGTACATTATTCGTGGAGACATTATTCGTACATTATTCGTGGAGACGTACATTATTTAAAATTGGATGGTTCCATGTACCGCTGTTTTATCACAATGCAAGAAACACATAACCACTTATGCAGATTCTTCATTAATTAATTTCTTTAAATATAATACAGGGCTCTAATATTCAGTGGCAACAATTTAAAAAGTGATTCGCCGTTTATAGTGAATCAACGCAAAACGCCAAAACGAAATTAATATCCCTTGTTTGCAAAAAGAACAAAGAAAGAAAATGACCGTCTCTCTCCACAGTAAAATTGTTTCCTAGAAAACTGGCTCGAGATTTCATTACATCCATTTAAGAATCTGATTAGGAATCATTTAAAATATTAGTCCTGCTAATAATGAAGGATTCAACCTTTTGATCTAAAAAGCTCTCAGTATCGTTAACTGGAAAATAACTAAAAAAATTGAACAATATTTGAAAAACCTCCAAACTTCGAAACATTAAGTCCAAATTTCCGAAACATTACTTACAGAACATTTCAAAATAAATAAATTGAATAACAAAAAATTGAAAAATAAAAAAAAAATTGAACAACATTTGAAAAACAGAACAATATTTGAAAAACAGCCAAACTTCGAAACATTAAGTCCAAATTTCCGAAACATTATTTCCAGAACATTTCAAAATAAATAAATTGAACAACAAAAAATTGAAAAATAAAAAAAAATGAACAATATTTGAAAAACAGCCAAACTTCGAAACATTAAGTCCAAATTTCCGAAACATTATTTGCAGAATATTTCAAAATAAATAAATTGAATAACTAAAATTTGAAAAATAAAAAAAAATGAACAATATTTGAAAAACAGCCAAACTTCGAAACATTAGGTCCAGATTTCCGAAACATTATTTGCAGAATATTTCAAAATAAATAAATTGAATAACAAAAAATTAAATAAAAAAATTGAACAATATTTGAAAAACAGCCAAACTTCGACAAATTAGCTCAAAACTTCCAAAACAATTTTCTAGAACATTTCAAAATTCGGACGCATTATTTGGTCAATATGTTGGTATCAAAATTTAAACTCTTCAATGATTAATTTAACCTTTGAATTTTGAAGAATTTGAAGAAGTATAAGGTTTTCGCCCTCATTTTTTTAACAGTATAAGCCTGCTGAAGAATTTGCGAGAAAAATTTAATATTAAATTATAAGAAAAAGTTTCTATAGAGTTTTGAGAAACTCATTTGGGAAATTTTATTGTAATCGTAAATTCGAGAAACAGCTTCCTCGATAAGTAAGGATACAATTTCGAGATTTTCCAAAATAGGGTTGTAATTTATGTAAATCTAAACCCTATAATCAAAATATTCTTCAATTTGTTTTTCAACTTCTTCCCTAATTTTCATTTGCCCAGTCTTTTGCAGATTTTCTCAGTTTATTCATATACTGCTTGTTTAAAAATTAATTTTAATAATTGACTCTAATACTCGTAAATCTTTCGATGCCTCTAACTTGGGGTACGTCGGGACCGTTAATCTGTTTGGAAACAAAATCAGTTTCAGTTGTTTAAAGAAATTGTAGCATTTATCGTATACAGGTTGGTAGATATGTATGATTAAAACAAAATATTTTCATTTTAATGAAAGGAATCGAACCCTTTTATAAATGCGCTCATTTAGTTAACGGAATTATTCAGAATTCTCTGAAATAATTCCACTGAACCTCTCTCTTCTTTGGGTCACCAGCGGCAAGGTCTCTGAACAATAGTAGTTGGGTCCGAGGTTCGAATCCCGTGAACGGGCTGACTGCATGGGCGTTTTCGGGGTTTTCCCCATGTCTAATGTGTATACGAGCCAGTTGCCCTTAGAAAGTCCTTCACGAAGGCATCCCTCTCCTTAGACAGAGAGCCCTCGAGACTTTTCCATCATCACATACACTCTCTCTCTTTTTGTTCAATTTAGCGGCAGCTCTGCTACCTGCCATATCGTTGAGACCAAATTTGAATCCCTGAGCAGGCTTGGATTTTCGGAAGTGTATAGTGTCTGTGCAGTGTGCGGCCACTTGAAATATAGGCAAGCCAAAAGCCCTGTCGAGAGACTCATCGATAATGGAACAGGGTCAGAGACCCTCTGATCCATCTACTGGGGTTCTTGCATTAACTAAGGGGGAGCTGCAGAGCTAGGGCGTCCGGAGATGTACCCCGTTCTTACGGTGTAAAATTAAATGTCCTCTAAGGGCATCTTAGGCAATGTTCTCAGAGGTAAAAAGGCTAAATGACCAATGGGACATGGGACGTTTCAGACGAATGTATTACTTGCAAGTGTCAGGCCATTCGAAACAGTAACAAAGTCGTCGTCTTTGTCTGTTGACTTATACTGTATCATTACTCTACTTTCGTATTTCTCTTAAGGCTTTAAACTGAAATGCTCAGGCGAAACGTATAGGAATACCACTACATGAAAAAGGCGGGAGAAATACCTTATATACTCCCCTTTTTAAAGGGCAACTGGTGTTTTAGGGGACCCAATCACTAAATCCTGGGTGAGGAGAATCATCATCCAACATCCTTTTAATTCGGGCGCCAGTGTAGAGATATTAAGTAATTTTTGAAAGCAGGAGTCATGAAATATGAGCAACGCCTTCGATGGGAATCGAACCACGGACCTCTGGAATACGAGTCAACGTGCAGACACTACACTACAAAAGCATGATAAGAAGGCGGGAGAAACAAATTATACTTTTAAGTTTCTTCAAATTTCTCGGCCATTTTTACCGGGCAGAGGGAGTAGATCGTAAAAGATTTCAGCTTTTTAAATATACTTTTATTCTATGAACAAATTATCTTCAGTTTTTGAGAAAACTGACCCCAAAAAATCCCAGTTTCATGATAAAGTTCCTTTCAACTGTTTCTATGAACTAGTTTTGTCTTTTCCAGAAGTGTTTTTCAAAATTTAAATTGATGTGAGCTATGCTCTGCTCTTTTTATATCCCATTATTTTTATAGCTTTTAAAAACTCAATTTTCCTTCTGTGTGATCGCAATCACAAAAGCGTACTTCTTAATATATTTTTCTTAAGGAAATACCTTTCCTCTCTTAGTCCAGCCTACATGGTGTAACGGTTACCTACGTGGTGTAATGGTTACCTACTTAGTGTAACAGTTAGCACACTCACTCTTCGAGAGGTCCAGGTTCGACTTCCGGCGCATTTTTCACGTCTTCCGGATCGGGGAAAAAACTAATACAGTGGCGTCCGAACTAAAAGGTGGTGAATGATGATTCTTCACCACCAGGATCTGGCGATTGTGTGCCCTAATCCCCAGTCATCCTTTAAAATGGGGAGTATATAAGGTATTTTCACCCACCAGCACGCCTTCCTGGTGTAGCAGTTAGCACACTTGGCGCGTATTCCAGAGGTCCAGATTCGAGTCGGAGTGGGGGCATTGCTCATTTTTCATGTCTCCCGCATCGACAAAACTAACGACCCTACACGCGTTTCTAGCATTCAACAAAAACAGCTATTATTTTCGATAAGTTTTACCGTTGAAAATTCAAAATTCTGCATTTTTTAAATTTCATTTTATTTATTTTTTTAACTGGCTCTTATTTAAAAAAGTAGTTATCTCATTTTTATCTGAAATTCTGTTTGTGTGTGAAAATTTTCTAAAAAAAAATTTTTTTTTAAATATCGTTCGGGTAAAATATAAAAATGTTAAAAATTAGTTTCAGGATTTACATAAACAAAGTAAAAATTAACATTAAATAAAATCGTATGACAATATTTATATTTTAAAGCTAGTAGTGAAATCGTAGTAAATAGCAGAAGTTTAAAAATAATTCTTCCAGAAAACAGAACTTACATGCGAAAGCTCCGAAGAGAGCGACAGCTACAAAAATCCACCTCATCTCTAACATGTTTGCGGCCCGTCTTAACTTCGGCTCGCCTCCGTATGTCTTTACATTAGTAAGCACGCAAAATTTTATCTTTCCAGATGGTAAATTACTCAAATTTATCTTGGGCTTAGAGAAAAACTTCACCTGCAAGCACAATTATCATAATATTTCCATAAGATTTGTTTGTATCCTAAATCACTGGTGTTTAAAGGAGATATTACGTCAGTGATATTAATATTTACTTTTTTTTTAAGAATTCCAGATTGTGCGTAATAAAAAAATGAGCGCTAAAACACTTACGTACTAGCAATTTTAAAATTTTGATTGAGTCATTGAATTATCAGCGCCGATAGCCTTTCTGAAAATTTGATTGAAATATTTTATTTCTAATTAGGATGTGGTGGTGTATTTTTAATTATGGCAAAGCACACTAGGGCTATCTGCCTAAGGGGAGGGATGCCTTCGTGGAGGACTTTCTAAGGGAAACTGGCTCGTATACACGTCACACATGGGGAAAACCACGAAAACACCCATGCAGCCAGCCCGTTCGCGGGATTCGAACCTCGGACCGAACTACCAGTGTTCAGCGACTTTACCGCTCGGCCGCTGGTGGGCCTTTTCTAATTAGGAAAGAACTTAGCTAAGATATACTTCGAATAAAAAGCGAAAATGTGTTAGAATTCAACATTAAAAAAAAAAAAAAAAAAAACAAATTTCGCTTATGAATTGAGAAGAAATGAGAAAGAAAAGATAAGATGAATTTTTATTCACGAATCATATAGACTGTAAAAGAATTATAAATATCCTTCTATTTTTCTTAGAAAATTTTAGAATAAATTACAAAAATCTGATGTGCGCACCACAGGACTTCCTTGTATGGAATATTAAATTACACGCATTTTTTCTTGCATTTCATTTAAACTTATTGGATTGAGTTAAATCTATTTCGTCGATATCGCATAAACCACGATGGAATAAATGCACTCTTTATCATTCACTCTATTTGTTTATCATAGCGACACTCCGGCCCTAAAACTTAACAGTGTTACATTTCGTTCATTTTTTAACTAAGAAAGCCAAAATTTATATCATTTTAAGAGTTATCTGATCGTTGCCACATGTTCTATTCAAATAGTATAATAAATCTAAAACGATGTATAAAAGAAATTAAGCAAAGAACAACAACAACAATAAAGAAACAGTTTTTCACAGACGATTCAGTATTTCTCATTCAATTAATTCAGTTTTCACTTCACGACAAGGCAAAAATACTTTAAAACTCAAGATGTCTGTATTGAAAATTATGAAGTAAATCTTAAACACTTATTGCCTCGAATAAATTCTAGAATGGATTAAACATGATTTAATTCGCAATAATAAAAGAAGGGGTTATATTTGTTAGTTATTTTTGTTATCGCGAAGACTTCCAAGATCCCGGATTCCTGATGTCCTCAAAGAACTACATAACAGCCCTACAGGAGGTAACTTTGGAATTATGAAGACCCTGTACAGAGAGTTCGTGGAGCGCTTTTACTGGAATAATGCAAAGGATGACGTACAAAAGTGGTGCCGATCTTGCGATGCCTGTGCAGGTCGGAAATGGACCGAGGAAACGCAGCCGAGGCAAGCTTACAACATTACAACGTAGGTGCGCCGTTTTTGAATGTATTCGCCTTTGACATCTTGGGACCTCTGCCACGAACTGCTGATGGTAACAAATACATACTCGTTGTCATTGATTACTTCACCAAGTGGCCTGAAGCGTATCCTATTCCTGATCAAGAGGCTGTTACAGTAGCTGAGGTGATGATACTCACCTCAGCTACTGTAACTTCATCTGCCTTGTGATCTATTGTTTGGTCGCCCTCCGGATTCTCCTTCATCGTCTGAGGAATATATTCAAGATCTCCAGGCCCGGTTTGAAGTGATGCACAACTTTGCGGACGACAGAGAGTCAACTTGGCGACAGAGAAGATGAAGACCCGCTACGACACAAGAGCTACTGAACATCAATTCCACGAAGGAGACAAGGTGTGGTTGTGGAATCCGACTCGACGGAAAGGACTTTGTCCGAAATTACAATCACCTTGGGATGGCCCGTACACAATCCTAAATAGGCTGAATGACGTCGTGGTTCGGATTCGTAAGTCTTCGAACTCTAAACCTAAAGTCGTTCATTACGACAGGTTAGCTCATTACTATGGCCATAGTACGTAATGTAAATAATTGTAAATAGTATAAGACCATGGTCCTTTTTGTTTTTAAATGTATTTTTTTGATTTGTATTAGTATTTGATTGCATTTAGTATTTGATTTGTATTTGATAGCATTTGATTTGTTTTATTTATTGCATTTATTATTCATGTTGTTCATTATTGTAATGTAATGCTTATTAATGCATGTATGCCACAGTTGTAAGTTTAGCTTCCTGTCCAGGGATTTTACTGCCCGGGACGTGCAGTCCTTGGGAAGGGGGCAGGGCAGTGTTACGAATTTGGTATTTAAAAAGCTAATGTTAGTTCAATTATAAATTAAATGGTTTTATTTCTCGCGCAGTGCAGCGCGTGACGAATATTAAAAGAAAGCTAAGCAGGAAAAATTGAAAATACAAGAGCGCGTGCATTAAATAAATAAAATATCTCTTTTTGATTTCGAGAAAGTACTGGAAAATTCTAGCGCGTGATTTTAAAATCTTATAAAAGGAGGAAAACATCTCAGTTTGCAGTAGTTGCTTAGTTTAGAAACTGCTCTGCAGTAGTGCTTAGTTTGTTTGTTTAGAAAACTGCTCTTGTTGATTGTAGCGAATTCGCGTTCTTTAGCTGTTTTGAATTACGTTCTATTGGACATTTGAGTAGTTGAAAGATAACTACTGTGAGATATTGTAATACTGCATGATAATTTGAGAAAATTTAACCGTTGTTTTTTCATAATACGAGAAAGATGCATACGCTCATGCAGATTCTTCGTGCTTTAATTTCTCTGAATATAATACAGGAAGATAATATTTGGTAGCACAAATTTGAAAAGTGATAGCCCGTTTATGTTACATGTTTTAAAAGAGAGGTATTTCCAACCAAGAATTAGTAACGCAAAAATAAGTAATGTACCATTTTGGGATATGTGTTCCAAATAATCTGCATAAAACGAGCATTTGTTTAAGCCGATTTTAAACTACAGATTGATATTCATGTAAATTCCAACTTAAATGTCATAGACAAAGAATTATGTCAAAGTTTACTTTTAGTGAATTGGAAATGTAATATCGATAAATATTTACACAAAAAAATTAAAACATAAATAAAAAATGTGACTTGGAAAAATAAGAAAACATTTAAAATAAAAATTTATATATGTAAAACCAAGAAAAGGGAAAAATATCTTTTGAAGTTGTAAAGAAAAACTAGCAATTAAAAATTTACGTTTGCAAAAATAAAGAGTGAAAAAGAAAAATTAAGAACTTAATTTTAAATTTTGTTAATCTGATGTGTACACCACAGGACTTCCTTGTAAATCATATTACATCATACTCAGTTTTTCCTGCATTTCATTTAAACTTATTGAATTGAATTAAATCTGCTTTGTCATTAGCGCATGAACTACGATAGAATAAATGCACTCTTTAAAAATTCACTATAGTTATTTACCATAACGACACTCTGGCGCTAGGTTCACTTAATAGCGTTACATCTCATTCATTTGATAACTCAGAATGCACAAAAATACATCTTACAGGGCTGTAAATACAAGGGCATTTCGAAAAGTAAAGATACAATGGCTCGCATTCCTTAAAAAAAAAAAAAAAAAAAAAAAAAAAAAAACCACTTATTTAGAAAACGTCAATTACATGCTATTAACTGGATTATTTATTTTTCGACATAATCACCCCCGTTATCCAAACATTTGTTAAGTCGGTGCACAAGCTTTTGTATCCCACAGTCATAGAAGGTTGCCGCCTGTTGGAACCCAGCGCGCACACAATTTCCTGTACCCTAACTTGACAGTCACAACTTCATAAAGAGTTGTCATTGACACTTCCGGTATTATATGATGCAATTCTTTCAATTGGACGTCTATTCGCACGAATTGCTTTCTCTGTTCTCTGAAGAAGGGCATCAGAGATCACAGATGGCCGACCTGTTCTTTGTTCGTCATGAACATCGGTCCTACCTTCAGAGAAATGGCGACACCCTTTCGTTACATTTTGTCGATTCATAATGTTCCCAAAAACAGAAACAATTTCTTTGTGAATATCCGCTGGTCGCTGACCTTTTGCATGAAGAAAAACGTATGACGGAGCGCACTTTGCATTTGGTGGGTTTCTGAATCGGCGCAGTCATTTTAAACACGATCTACTCCAACCAGAATCAACGTTGAAATGCCGAACGACCGCGAGGAGAAAGCTAACCTATGTTGCCAACTTGCTCACCAAAACTTTTCTTTTCCTCTGGCGTACGCTGAATCTTTATTTTTCGAAATGCCCTCGTATTTGGTGGCAACAGTCTGAAAAGGGAATCAATGCAGAAAGTAAATCAACGCAAAATGCCAAAACGAAATTAATAGCCATTCTGAGCTGCCCTTTTGGCTAAATAGTAAAATAAAAGGAAGAAGAAGGAACAAAACAGCAATCTTTTGATTGCACAATTAAAATGCTGAATCTATTGATTTGTACATAAAAATCGATCAACAGTAGTTTATTAATGTTACAGAGTCGGTACAGAGTAAATCGATCAAGAGTAGTTTATTAATGTTACATTATCAAATAAGAAGAGAATTTTCTACATTTTTCTCTCTCTGTAAACGGAAGTGTTCTTACGGAAGTAATATTACGAACCTAAATCAAGAAGTAAGTGACAAAAGGCACTTACAAAATAACCTTATGGAGATATCCACCGAAAAAAATATTTTGTTTCTCAACCTTATTTTCATAAATATTTATAGCCCCACTGGTCCCAATCGTTTTATCAGTGTTTCAATACCCAGCTACATAAAATTCTTTGGCTTGCTTTCTCAACCACTTTACGACTTCTTCCTGAACATCGTCACTATCTGCAAAGTTTGTAGGTACTTCTGCATTAATGATCATGACCATGAGACACTTTCCA